TGTATTGACTAGTTAAGCTTGGACCATACAAGGAATCCGCGTAATTGAAGAGGGATAGAACCAGGGTGTCACAAAGGATAGATTTCAATTTGATTGAAAGAAAGTGCCGGTTACCATATATCATTTTCAATGATGAATATGCACGCTGAATTGATTTGTTTATATGTTTCTCGTATCGCAGGTTATCATCTAGTAATACCCCGAGGCTCCTGGCTTCATGAACTAACTGCAGTGATTCATTTTCAATACAAATATCAATTGAGTTATAAATTTCATTTCGATTCTTTTTTGGCCCGAATAACATGACATTAGATTTATTGGCATTTATATTGAGACAATGATCGGTGCATAAATTTACAAATGATTGAAGATCTCTGTTTATTAGTATACAAGCATTTTCAGCTGTTTGAGGTAAAAAACTATAATAAAGCTGAGTGTCGTCTGCATATAAGTGAACACTACATGAAGTGATGCTTCTCAGTATATTTGAAGAGTACATACAGAACAATAAAGGACCCAAGATTGACCCTTGTGGCACTCCAGAATTGAGTTGTAGATAACGTGATTCGAGACCATTCAAAATAACTTTTTGTTGCCTATTCTTGATATACTTGTCTAACAGTGAAATAGCAGATTCAGATAGTCCCATATAATGCGAAATTGCTAACAATAGGTCGTAGTTAATTGTGTCAAATGCACGGCTGAAGTCTAGTAAAACTAGGACTGTACATTTTCCCTGATCAGTAGACCTGAATATATCATCCACAATATGCAGGAGAGCAGTTGTACAACTAAAACCCTTCCTGAAACCCGATTGTGTCGGCGGTAATAAAGAGAGTGTATTCAAGTGTTCTTTCAGTTGAAACTCCATTGCTCGTTCTAATATTTTCGAGAGTGTCGGAAGTATACTGATGGCACGTAAATCTTTGTATTCCGATGGATTATTTTTTTTTGGAAGTACCTTCACAACTGCTCTACTCCACGCCACTGGAAACACATTTTCATTCAAACAGTAATTTACTATATGGGCGATGTATGTAATAATATGTGGACAGCATAATTTAATCATTTTTATATTCAATTCATCGCAACCGGTTGCATTCGTTTTAATGTTTGATATGGTTTTCAAAATGAATAAGTCGTTCACTTCTTTAAAGTTCAATTTCGAGTCCGTTACGCAAGTGTTCCTATAGAAATTTATCTAAGATGATAATAATTCCGTCGATAATTCTTCAGTAGGTTTAACTTTATGATAGTCTCATAATAGTGTCACAGCTAAAATATAAGCCATTCCCATTATCTTTAAAACCCAAAAGAAATTGAAATTTTCCAGCAGATACGTCATCATTGTGTTAATAACTCTCTGCCCCCCAGCATCCGTAACTTAGATATCTTCAATGGAACTGTTATACTTGTGATACAATTGAAAATCCATTGTGGGAATGTGGGAGTTGAGAGCAAAAATCTTTCAGAAATATCATGAAACAATAGATGTTGTCCTTAACACAAATCACAGATTCAGTGACCAGCCAATTCTCATTTATTCCTTGGACTTTTTCTTATCGGTCAATTCATTTCTAACAACTGTCACACACAGCCCGATAGGCGAGTGGACTAATAATAGAATCATCACTGAAATAGCTGGTACCTTTCAATTCTACATTTTTTTAGAATCTTTCAGTCGATTTTTAGGTGCTGAAATAATTCATTTCAAACGGCGAGACAAAAACTGACGCCACGATTTCGTATGTAGGGGCAGACTATATTACAGTTGCCATGTGTTGAAATACGATTGGGAACTCAATTATGTATTGGTAATATTCCTAATTAGCAATGAAAAATCAATTGCCTCAAAATATTCCCTCATGATTTGTGAATTATTGCTTATAATAAATTTGTGTGAATAATAATTATATTTATTCACACTAGAGGATATTCCAACCGGTAAACGTGACAACACGGCGCACGAATTGTGGGCGTGTTCTTGTCAGTTCTCAGCATTCAGCATAATGTTGCCAAGTCTCCAAAATTTACATGATATTTTGTTATGTAGTATAAGAAATATTTGGACATGCTGGTTGCTAGAAAAAGTCGAGAATCAACTATAATATTATGGGTTCCACCTATTATGTTTTATTCAACCACAGGACTCCAACATCTTTTTGATAACATGATTATAATTGGTGACTTGGCAACCTTGCTTCATGAGTGGGAATGAAAGATTATCTGACCAATATAGAAATGGGATAAAAACTGGTGCCGAAATGAATTTTCTGGCCATTTCACCCAAAATCGGCAGTATCATATTTTCATTTCACCATAGGTAATGAAGGATTTTCATTTATTATCAGTGATGTGAATCTCTTCATTCATAGTATAGCATTCCCATAGTGGATTATTTCTTTTTATCATAGTGATCTCTGATAATTTCAAAATTTTTTTGAAGATCTTCATCATCATCCTCATCCACTAAGTCAGCCAAAGAGTATCTCAATCTCATCAATTAGCATTGGCTTAACAGGATTATTTTTTGTTTCACAAAGAGAGAGAAACTCAAAATCATTACCACATTAGTTCATAAAACAAACGAAAATGGTAGATAACGAGAGAGAGTCCGAATTCTAGGGAATTTTAGGTTTGAACATTTTCACCATCTACGAAATTCAGCGCACCCATCACCAAATCATCGTCTATGTTTTTGGTAGCGACATCTATTAATTATAATTTAAACCTCCTAACTCTACTCTGACAGATTTTGAACTCAAAAACTCGTAAGTCTGCAAGAGAGGATAGGGTTAAGTTGTGCTTGTTGAGAAAGTATAAATCTCTATTGTTTGATTCATAATTTGAAATGAAATCCATGTCAGACACCAAAGTGAGTTTATGATGAACTATTTGGTCAACCTTCTCGCATATTTCTGCAGTGATGCGAAGGACAATCTCTCTTGTTTTGATTCTTCATGTGAACAGACTTACGAGGTTCTGATCTGTATGTTATATATCTAGTATAGAAGACTTAAGAGCTTTTGAGAAGATTTTATTGATATTTGTATAATTTTATTCTGTTCATTCCAAATGAAGACATTGATTGAAATATATCGGTTCATTATTGTTGAACCCATATTTCTCATTGTTATCAAAACTGCCGCTGATTTGCTACATGCACTTTGAAGCAAGGCCAAACTAAATGACAATTTTCACTAGTAATTGATCAAAACCAATTCGGTCTGAATAATGTTCAATTTATTTTTGTAAATTCTTGAACATTGAGAATATAAATCTTCTCAGAATGTTGATTTCATTCATCAAGCAGGTACCTTTACGAAGGAGGAATAGCCGTAAAAAATGAAATTAAATCGTTCGAAGTACCTAGTGGAAAACGTTTCTTCCCCTCCTGAACAATTAGCTCTGAAAGACTTATGAGGTTTTAACAGTAAGCCGACGATATATTATGTATGTATGTACATACGTATGTATGTATCCGATTCCTTGAATGTGACAATGCATCATGAAATTTTTGTTTGAAAAAAAAAATGGCGGCTAGAAAATGGCGGACGTGTTTTGTAATTATGATCCGATTCTACTCAAAATTGGCAAATCTGGGAGTTTTTGGGGTCGATAATTATGACTCTTTTGTCGAAATTTGGAAATTCAAGATGACGGATCAAATATGGCGGACGAGTTTTGAAATAAAAATGATCCGATTGTAGTCAAACTTGGTATCCCGGGGTTTTCGGGGTCGGAGATTATGATTCTTTTGTCAAAATTGGGAAATTCCAGTATGACGGGGTTTTGTAATTATGATCAGATTCTATTAAAAATGTGTATCTAGGGGTTTTTGGGATCAGGTATATAAAACCTAAAAACAGGCTCCTGTAGTTAGCAGAACAAAAAAAAAGGGAAACAAATAGTAGTTTAAAAAACCGAAAAAACATGCTTTTATAGATAGCCAACCTAAAAAGTAGAAAATACAATAATGAAAGTGTGTTGATAAATACACAACATAGAATCAATCTCTCAATAGGATATACTTATTATGAAGGTTCTAGTATTTTCAATGTGGTGTATTTATCAACACACTTTCATTATTTTATTTTCTACTACTTTTTAGTTTGGCTTTCTACAGAAGCATGTTTCTTTATTTTTTCAAACTACTATCTATTTATCATGTTATCTTCATTCTTTGAAGTTATTTTGGCTACTGATTTTCCAAAATAGTCCAAAATGGGGAAGACAACTCCTAGGGAAAATGATATATTTTAAAATAACCACTCCTTACTGTTTGTTGGTTGATGCAAGAATGACTAGTAGATTTAATATATTTGAAACCAAATTGGTTGAATGGGATACTTACCAGTGGCAGCTCGTGCTTCTTTGAACAGGGGAGGCTGAATGGGAAGTGTGAATGTGAAATTGTACAAAAAACTGATGTCACTTATAAGGTTTTTGTTCATAGAAAGCTTATATCATCATATTTTTAATGGTCATGGGACCTAATAACAACAATCACTTATAATGATGTAAGTAGGTTCATTTATGATAGTGTTTAATAAAATTCTTATGATTGAGTTTCTATTTCCATTTTGAAGAGAATTCATAATCAATCAGAATAAGCTGTAACAAAAACCTTATATTGTGATTTTGAATTTTATATGGCTGTCAAGTTTGGGCAACACACATGTGCTCCCTTGTGACCTTGGGAATTGTGATTCTGGTGAATTTCATTGGTCAGAGGCTGTTTTCTGTTAGCTAATGCCAAGTCAAAAATTTGTATTCCATTATGAATAATTCTGAGTGAAAGAAGCATTGCTGCCAAATAGTCAAACTCTACATGGAACATAAGTTAGCTATTTTGGTGTATATTTTATACAGGTATATTGAACTATTCAATGTATGGAAATTATTGAGGAAACTCAGCCTCCCTTGCCTTTTCTGAGAAGCCACCACTGATACTTACCATGAATCATTGAAACAATTTCAAGTTTACTCTCCAATCTCACCTGGTGAACTCCTTGAATCAGAATCCTGTTTTTCTTTACTCTTTTTCTTTTTTTCCTTGGATGTTTGCTCTTCAACTTTTGGAGCAATAATTTCATTCAATTTTTGTTCAACCACCTGTTCCTCAGTTATCCCATACAACTTCACTTGCATGTTCACCAAATAAAAAGCATAATTATTATTCTTGAACATACTAAGTACAACTTTTTTATGTGATTGACTCATTATGTGATCCACAATTCTGGAAGCAGGTATTTTTTGACAACATAAACAGCAACTTAATGAATCAAGATCCACCATACTGAAGTAGACCTGATGAGCCTGATAGTCTGGGTCCAAATTGAGGAATAATTCATGATACTTCTGTAAAGCAATTAAATTGGGAAAGCTTCTTGAATTTCTCAGATGACGCTGACCTGCCACATGGTCCATTATAACCATTTTGTGTACTCTACCCCTTGAAATTATATCACAATAACATATTAGACATACAGCCCTAGAAGGACCTAGTTTTTGTATAGTAAAGTTTTCAATCTGGTCCATTTTACAGACTGACCTCATGATTGATTCTGGATAGAGCTTGGATTCAACAAATTTGTCATAGCTCAATTTGAAATTGAATCTAAAAGTGTTGATGCCTTCATCTTCAGATGAATATTTGCTGCATTCATCACCATTTGCAGGTGGTTCACAGTGTTCAATACCACTATCTCCATTTTCAACATTATTTTGATCTAATTCAGAACTTGTGCTAGACAAAGTTGGCACAGATTCTGATCTGTTATGTATGGAGTTTTCTAGGGAAATAGAACCATCAAGATATTTGAGAAATGTTTCTTCCACATGTTCATGTTCTTGAAGGCAATCCCAAAATTCTTCATCATGTGGAATATGGATGTTTCCATTGCACTCTGTACATACAATATCAGTATCTCTCTTGATTCTGCATTTACCAACCTCAGAGAGTGTATACTTGATATTCTTTTTCAATGTCAATAGTAAATATACTAATTCTTCAGAATCTTCTTTACTTGCATTTAGTAAGGAAATGCGGCCTCCACTGTTCCAAAAATTAGAAAACTCTATTAGTTTTGATTTTACTTCAGCAACGGGCGTAAAAGAGTTGTTCAAGTAAAGCTTTTTTTCTAGGATATCTAAAGCAGGACATCCAGATGTAGATGTAGATGGGAGAGATCCTTCCATTTTTTTTTGTATCTTTTCCTCACTCCAGCGACGAACTCACTTTATAACTCATTAAATGTATACTTTAGTCATCATATTTTTGACTATATCAGCAAAAAGCAAAACACGTGTCACAAAGAAAAACACAAATAAAATCAAATAAATAAATACATTCAGTCAGCATTCAGTTCAAAAATTGACAAGTGCAAGTGCACAAACACAAAACCTTAGATCATACAGGTATGAGCTAATCACAAAACACAAATTCTTATGCATTTTGTCATGTCCAAGGTCATGTCGTTGTCATAAATGTCAATCATTGTCAATTGTCATAAATCTAAATCATAGATATCAATCATCATTATGACACAGTTTAGGGTTTATTCGCGAATTCGCGATAGAATACGATAGAAAATAAGCGTACGCCACCTATCGGAGTTCTTGAAAGCTGTCAAAGCGGCCTGTATACTTTGTTTTCATTGGTTCATATCACTGAACTATTATAGTTGACATTCGTTTTTTGTAGGGTCCCTTGATGGAAATTGACGTTAAAGTCATCATAACAGGGTACGGACAGATCATAGCTGCATTCTTTTTTAATGATCTAGAGATTTTAGTTTTGTCTACTGGCATCCCTGACATTGCTGTCACGTCACATCCATGGGCGCTACAGAAAATCATTCAAAATTTTAATTATAGTTATGTACAGGGTATTTACTTGTTGAGGAAGATCATATGGCGAACGAGTTTTTTAATCATGATCCGATTCTATTCAAAATTGAAAGGTATGTGGGTTGTGGGTTTCCGGGGTTGGAGATGATGATTGTTTCGTCAAACTTGGAAAATTCAAGATGACGGATCCAATATATAGCAAACAAAATTTCTAATTATGATCTGATTCTATTCAAGATTGGTATCTGAGGGTTTTCGGGGTCGAACTTTATGATTTTTTGTCAAAATTGGGAAATTCAAGATAGCGGGTCCAATATGGCGAACGAATCTTGTAATTATGATCCGATTCTATTCAAAAAATCAAAATTGGTATCTGGGGATTTCCGGGGTCGGAGATTATAATTATTTCGTCAAAATTGGGATATTCAAGATGGCAAATCCAATATGGTGGATGTTTTGTAATGAAGATCCGATTCTATTCAAAATTGATATCTGGGGGTTTTCGGGGTAGGAGATAATGATTGTTTCGTCAAAAATTGAAACATTCAAGATGACGGATCCAATATGGCGAAAGACATTAGTTCATATAATTATTACTCTTCCACAAATAGAAAATATATGTAGAATGAAAGAGTGAAAATAACGTGCCTATAAATTATACTGTGTATACTTAACGTATACCTACTTCTTTGTTACTTTCATCAATAAATTATTCGAAAATGACTCTCTATATTTTCCTGCACATTTTACGTATTAATTTTTATCAGCCTACTTTTCGTCCTAGACGAAGTCTTTTACATAGTGTGATATTAGTAACTCCATGAATTCTACTCCGAGTTGGATTTCTGAAAATACATATTTAGCACACATGACATGAGTACAGTAGTCCAGATACCCACATCGAGGTTTCCACCATTTCTCAATCATAATAAGGCTCAGCTCATTCAGCTCTTACTACTTACTCTGTAAAACTAGAGGATTGTTCACCTATATCTTGGTATAGTTGAATCAGGAATTCCATATAGAAATTACGTATGCTACGCCAGTGACCTCAATATAACCTAAAAAACAACGAATGTCAAAAATCTAGTGTTTATCCCCAGAATTGAATAAGGATGGAACTATATAACTGTTTCACAAACACTTTAGAGTGAGAGGAGACGAGGATCTGTCCGTACCCTGTTAGGATGACTTTAACGTCAATTTCCATCAAGGGACCCTAGTTTTTTGTTTGTGCTTATTGGTCACATCATCAAAACAAACCGCTCAGAAATGTTCAAGTTGTTGCCGTCAGGTAGGGCGACGTGTTATTTTCTATCGCAAATTCCCTAATAAACTGCGATATGATATAAATCTGGAGAATCAACAAAAACAACTACGAGTTCAATTTGCCAAGCAGGCCAAAAATATCAGAGAGTTGAAGTAGGTACATACTGTACGTAGCCACCTTGCTCCACGTAGACGTTAATCCTACGGAAAATAATGTTCACGGATTAAGCTTGGTTTATTGTTGGGCGATTTTGGCTTTGACGACGCTAAAATCTCCCAGCAATAAGCTTCATCCTTGAATTGAGTTGAAGTCATCAGTGTCATATCGTAACGTGAAAATCAATTCTTGTTTTCGGTTTGTATTGGTCCTTTTTGGCAGGGACCCGGACCGGAACCGTTATGAACCGAAAACCGTAACGGAACCCATATTATTTTGTGAACCGAAACCGAACCCATATTCCGGTTTTCTCTCTTGATATGCTTTTGGTCACAGCCGGCTCTCTTCTTTGAAGTGGGCTATGTTTTGGTTTATAAGTGATGCCAAACTTAGGTTTTGTGAAATAACTTCTTTTTGTTTTATGACTTTAGTGGTGATTGGTGACACCTGGGCCTGCGCACTGCGTATTAGGGTCACTTGGTTCGGGTGGTTCGGTCACAAAACTAGCTTTCAGTTTTTACACCCAGTTATTTACTCATTAGCAGAATTGATAGTTTTGGACCTCGTATACGACTGATAAAATATGTTATCTGATTCTCGGATCTGGACCTATCGTAATTAGTTATATTAACTTAGTATTGACTGCTAGTCAACTATTTTCCAAAACAAAATTCGATATTTGTCTACGATAAAGGTAGATACATTATTCTCAAGTAAAATTAATATTAATATCAATGATATCATATATCAGATATCAATTTTTTAGAGTGCATATAATATGAGATGAGGTACCTAAGTATACGAAAAAAATAAGTGACATTCGCATTCTCGGATTCAGGCTTTGCAGAATTTTTCATGGAGAATGACTTTTTTTCCTAAAATTGATAATCAAAAAGTTTACCCTTCATTGCCAATTTTTGCAGACATACTGTATATAATGTACCGAAAACTGGCAGAACCGAATTGAAATTATATTCTGGGAACCGTAACTGAATCGGAACCGAAATCTACAATTTCCTTAAGACCCAGGACCCGAACCGGAACCGATATCACATTTGGGTCCGGGTCCCTGCTTTTTGGTTGTTTGTTCAGATCTGAACGTGTTAAATTGAGCGGAATCCTTGAAGAAGAACTTTTTGGAGATCCAGGCTTCAATAATCTTGACTCAATGGCATATTTCGGTTAACGTACGTTGATATTCAAGGTATACGTGAAAGTACGCAAGGCAAAATTGTGCAACGTGCACCCGTTACCCATTAGCCCACTACAAGGATCCCCCACTACCAACGCAAACGTAGAAAGCAAGAAATGCGCATGCGTCCAAATTGTATCACGTGATTCACTGTGGTCAATCTGGCAATGAGGTTTGGGTATGGTTCGAAAACTATAGGCTCTCGGCGGCCTCTCGTCTTGGTAGCACTTCAACCTTCAACTCTCTGAAGTGTTGCCATGAACGTTAACGTAAACGTAAAAATTGAAAGGTACGCATGCGCATTTTCCAATTTTCACTGTGACAAATCTGGCAATGAGGTTTGGGTATGGTTCGAAAACTAGGTTCTCGTCTTGGTAGCACTTCATTTGGTGTTTTTACTTTTTTACTATTGCAACATTCAATAAATCCCGTGTAGTGCTGCTCATACCTTTCTCAAGACTTCCTTGGCAATAACTCATCCGTATCGCATCTGTAGCTGGAAGGTTTTCATCACAATTCCACTGTATCGAAAATGACAGTAACGCTCTGTCTACCACTCTGAGAATTACACTAACCAATTTGTGTTTTGATCGACATGACAACAATTGTTTCCCACATCAGATCAATTAAAGGCTATAGGGGATATGATATAACAATAAATTTTTATCTTTCAATATTTCTTATTTTTCACAATGAATAGTGCAATTTGATGAATTACTTTCTACAAACTTAATAAATACTGCAACAGAAAAACCCAAACCCAAACTAATTTGCGTGCGGGTATAGGGTGAATCACGTAGGCTTGTAGAACAAATATGTATCAAATGTAGGCGATTGCAATTGGAGCCTTCAGCGTGTAATGGCCTCGGTTAACGCCATCAGGCCATTATTCACTCCTACTGCATTTTGATATTATTATTTTGGATATCTTTGAAAATGACGAATCATATTTCACACAAAAAACCATATATTAGGTCCACTGATTATGTGCTAAAAAGAAACAACCATCTACTAAAAACAATATTTATTATAACTCCATTTTTAAAAGCACACTTCATTTATGTAAAATAGACGAAACTCTACAAATTACAAATAATATATAATAATGACTCGTCACCGTCCTTTGCTAAGCAAAGTCCTAAAAATATATTGCAACTTATGATAAAAATTATATAAACATAGACGACAGCATAACAACTGTCAACATCAACTGTTTTCAAAGAGTTTATGTTAGATTAGGTATTTAGAGGGACGTTAACATTTTTTACTTCAATCTCAATTATTTCAATAAATTAACACTGGCTCACCAACAGATTATTTTGTGCCCCAGTCAATAATTTTTCAATCACATGGTAATATATTACTATACATTTAAATTTTACTATAATAATAATGTGCAAACTACAAGAAAAATATATATTAAATATGCTAATTATAAAAAAGGGCGAAGTCTGGACTAGGAGTCCTCTCAGGTAAAGCGTAAAGATAACAGGTAATGACCAAAAGAAGTAGGTAGTACAATTTATCTGAAAATTAAGAAAGAAACATATGTATGGTTATTATTATTAAATTTATGCACTAGCGGGCCGTAAAGTGCACTTTACCGCCCGGTTTTGCGGGCGTTCGGTCGCATTTTACCGCCCGCGGGCTCATTATGGCCCACGGGACGTAAAGTACACTTTACCGCCCGCTGTTCTCAGTCACCTTATATCCACATATCAATTTATGAGAAACCTATGATCATATTCCTAGATTCTGATATATCCAGCGGTATATTATAAACTTCTTCTTCATCCGATTCCATAGTCTCGCTATTATTAATATCACTAATTTTACTTTTCAATCAAAGAATGACAACTCGGCTCGTTTATTGGATGTATTGCTGTAGACAACAACCATCAGATTGATTGACAACGTCAAAATAAGTTAGGTTCATATACTGGGTATGCATATTGTAAAATTCTGAAGAATGAATCTCTTCATTCATACGTCCATGGCCGAAAGAGTTTTACCATTACGATAATTGCAATATTCGTACGATAATTTTCATATGTAAATCATCCATGAACATTACGCTTCTCTTGATTACTGAATTTATACGTAACGAATTAAATTCTGGGGAATATTAGTTTATCGAAATCTATAGTCATTACTTATGAGTCAGAAAATAAACCACTAGTGCATAATAGTTATTTATGTATTAAGGGAATTATGAGGGCCTTAATTACCGACGGCAAAGTATGCGTCCCGAGGGCCTCTGGCCCGAGGGACAGCAATTGCCAGAGGTTATTGAGGCTCTATAATTCCCGTGATACATAGATAATTTTATTTCTGACTGATTTCATTCATTAGATACCTTCCCGATTGGAAGTTAGACATGTTTTTCCGTATAGTTTCAATGTCATCAGAACGTCAGATGATGATCTTGACTACCGCGAATAGGAGATTCCTTATTGCTACGTTATTGCGTGGTTGTTGCTATGCATTTCTTATTTAATTTTAGCTAGAGGGAATTATAGCATCTATAACATCCCAAGGGAGGTATGACCCTCATAATAGATATCGTAACTATGACGATATAAGCTTATAATGTCACTGTCAGAAATAAAATTTTGTATGTATCTCGTGCGTGAAATGCGTTTATGGCCTTCAGCGTGTAATGGCCCTCGGCTAGCGCCATCGGGCCATTATTCACGCCACGGTCCATAAAAGCCTATTTTACGCCCTTGATACATAAATAACCATTATTGAGTCAGCAAAAATGTACAAGTATTATTATACAGATATATTTCTCAAACGGAAGAGTTCAATTTCACGATTGAATCGCTAATTGCTCTTCCACTTGAACGTATCTTATGCATATTTTGAGTATTTACGATTTTGAAAAACAAAAAGGCAAATTGAATTGCCCATCAGATACTATGAGTAGGCTCTAATCATTATTTTTCAGATTTCAATAGGTATGTATGTACACTTCTTCTCAAAAAAATCGTAACGACTTCTGTCTTGATTTCCTCGAAATAACTGCTTATGCCCACGGACTATTATATCTTTATTACACAGCACACCCGCAACGGTAGGTAGTTTCCTATACCTAAATAAACTTATTATCCTTCTTCGTGGTATAGTGGGAAAAAGCAGGTAGAATAAGTTGGTTCAATGCTCAATGTCATTTATTTTGAAATATGGAAGTATGGGAGCTTGTGACATAAAAGCTCATAGACATGAAGTATCTAGAGAAATTCAATATTTTCAGAGTTTTGGATTCTGGATATTCATCTTTGGAAATATCGATAGTCAAAACATTAATTATCGTTATTGAAACTCTTTTGGTCAGATTAAATGAAAAAAATTATTAATATGATCTTATTTCCAACAAAATCTGCACGGTGTTACATATAACATTATGACAAAATTCAAGCATACATTTCTCGCAAGCAAATAAAAAGAAGGCATTCAAGTCAGAAAAATAGTGGTGGAACATATTCTTCGATTCTGATACTCATCCGATGCTTATGACACCTTTAGAAAGAGAAAACAAATTTTTTTCATTTTGTTATTTCAATAGAACTTATCAAATATCAAGACGATCGAAGAAATGTTTTTTAAAAGATGAATGATATCGAATTCATATTTTTTTAACTCTCCAATATCCTGAATCTCAACTACAGTTATCTGTAAAAATATACTCATGACCTCGTTTTATCTTACATGAGGTTCTGCAATGATCAATAATTGATAAACTGGCGATTATTTACTGAGATATATATTGTAGGGTTTTAAAAACTGCTCTTGAAAACATGCACAAATACTTTGAGTGTTTTTTTGTTGGCAAACGGCGTTCTACTAGTGACTATTTCTATAAAAAGATATCTATCAACCAAATAAATAGATGGAACACCAGATACTGTTAATTATATTTTTATTGATTTGTTGATAAATTTCATTGAGGTGACACCCTTTATATCCAAGCAAATAGTTCGTAAACCCTATAACGAATAAAAAAACATTCAATTTGAAATATTTCATCCAATCTTCTTCATGTTATTGTATTATGATCAAAAGTGCTTGCAGGAAAAAAAATACGGATGTGCTACTGATTTGGAGTAACAGATCATGATATCAGAATTATTTGCCTCCATAAGAAATTTTCTAACGGAATAACTGAGACAAGACATCAATTGAAGAATATTCGAAGAAAATCTGTTCAGTCAATGAATATTTATCTAATGAATAATTTGTAGAAAAACATAATGGTGAATCTATTTAAATAAAAAACAAAAACGGAGAGTGGCTGTGAAAATATGTAAGTATTATTACAGTCTTTGCAAATTCAGCAAAGAAACATCGCCGCGGCACGCGGTCCGTTTGAACTTTTTGAAGGAACCGGCGGTGGTGATGGCGTATCTCTTCTGATCAAGTTGTCTCAAGTGACTTTGCAAATACTATATCATTTATTCTTCGAGTAGAAACTAGAAATAATGCAACCTGCCTAACCCTTTTCATAGTTAGACAATTTAATAACGCAAATTGTCTAGGAATCAAAATATTTCCATCGTTCTACATCTTTAACGACCTAATTTGCTTCTAGGTATATCCTTTAAGGGGCCGAATCGAATCTATCCAAACTTATATTTACACTGTATAGATTTTGGTCGAAACAGGATATCATTGGTTAACACACAATTTACCTCCACCCTTCGTGAATTAGTGAATATTATATTCGTTTCCATCTAATTCATCAATTCCGTATGTGACATAATATGTGTAATTTTTCTGATAAAAGAATGTTCCAATCGTCACACTCCGATAGGGTGATGATTCACAGACCGACAAGATCTGATCGCTTCCAAAAGAAATTTCATCCAACGTTTCAACGTAGATGATTTTCATCCACATTTGTGGCTGGATAAGCAATTGTTGAGCTATAATATATTCGGAAGTTGTCGGAAGGTTCACAGAATTTCATGCTTCCAACGGTTATCAAGTTTTATCTGCAAGAAAACTTTATATTTCGACAGGTGAATCAGAAATATCACAAAGAGATTACGAATCATCTGGTTCAAAACAGAATTATCATGGCCCATTTTTTTTTCGCCAATGCTATTGATACGTTACCGTGACGTGCCAGAAACCCTGACCTGAATTTTATTGAAAATGTATGGGGATACATGGTGAACCGCCTTTACAATAATAACTACCACGCTGCAAATAGAGAGAACTATCAGACAATATAATTGGGATGAACTTCGTGAAGTTAATAAGGAATTTGGTTGAATTTGCTGCTGATGGTTCCTATACAGAATAATGAAAAATGCATAATGAAACCAGAGCAATCTATCAAGTTTTTTCTATTAAATTTATATTTGTGTCATTTCATTGAATTTTCGTTTTATATTTCTTTTCCGTTCGGATTTTATAACTGTGTCAGTTAAATTATTCGTTATATTATTTTGAACAGAATTTGGTTCTTTTTTGATATATAAATGTATTTCACCTACGCCACTATCGAATGTAGGCAAGAACACACGAGATACAGCCTCAGTAAGTAGCTATTTACGCACAGTAAGCACATCGCACAGTTTTCGTTGATTCCGCCAGTCATGATCGCGTAATCAAAGTCAACAGCGGATAACATAACTGTCAAGAATTATAATTCAGTCTGTTTGTCCAAACTTTTTTGATGTACTATATGTCAGTAGGTAAAGTAAAGTACGTAATGCGTGTTGTAAAGCAATTACGCACTCATGAAATAACTTTTCCATTCGTGGGTAATATACTTCTTAGAACACATATCACGTAATATACTATTGATAAATGAGTTTCCAGAAGTTTCGATCGTATTATTCAAAAATCTATTGAACTTAATTCATATTTGATGAGGTGAAATTTGTTACTCATTTCTATTTCCTCATGAAATTGAACAATCATTATTCTACTATAATGGTATGATATGTAATTGTCATGAATTCATACTTACAATACAAGTGTATTGTATTGTATGCATTGAATACACTGCGACCTAAAAGATCTACGATACATATATGCAATTTTTCTTAAGAGTTCAAATAATGAAGACACTTTTATTGCCGCCGATCAGCATATATTTGAAAAAAAAACTTCCAGATCATCCATTTCGTGTAACGTTAAGAAAATTTTTTAGTATCTCACATTCACATGGAAACATCAAATATTAAATGGAATTTTAAAAATAGCCTTCGCCATTTCCATCATAATCAATATAAAAAAGAATTGGTAATCTTGAAACCAATACCATAATTCTGCTCGAGTTCTTGCTGATTGAATGCACCCAAAACACTTCAATCAGGTCATGAAATTCTAATGACGTGTACCCTTGGGTAGATCGACATTGTGCCTAAACGATGAATAGTACATGGGCCTAAACAAAATACACCAATATAGCGCAAGAGTCGTTACGATTTTTTTGAGGAGATAAAATGTTCGTGACATATTGTCCAGATCAGAATAAAATTCTATTTTGTGCTTTCCAACGAAATAAATAAACCAGTATTATAATTATTTTCGATGACAAAATATTTGAAGGGCTTGTTATATTATTGCATTTTGTTTCAGGTGAATGGATAAGAAATAGGAAAAAAAAACAAACACATCCGAAAAAATTGCAACAAGTCTACAAAAAATTAATAGTGTTAATCGAGATCAAAAGGAAAATTCGACGAAATTTAGGGCAACTGTATGTATACAGGGTGAGTCATGACTAACCAGCCATAGCCTAATGGCAAATAGCGGAGGTCAGGGTGAGTTGATATATATGAAAAAAAATATTTTTTGCCTATTCTTAACAGAAATACAGGGCATTATTTGAATTCGGGGCAAAACTTCAATGACCGATATCGGCTGAAATTCACTAGCAACTTACCTCTACTGACACTCCACAAGATGACGTACTATGAATGAAAAATTCCAGATCCGGACTTGGAAAACTCATTTTCTCTTTAGATGTCAAAATTTTGACATTCTGAATCGGATTTTTCGGAAACTTTCATCAGAATCAGAAAGATCAGGAAAAATACTACAAGTATGGCTTTTCAATTCGTACGGCACACTTCGATCGTTTTGGTAAAAAAATATCAAACAAAATACCGATGAATTTTTCTTCGATTTCGTCCGGGCATATCACTCTCTAAATTCGACCAAAAGTAATTAAATCAAATTTTTTCCTGGAATGATTCAACAGCAGACTTGAGAAAAGGTATAATTCAATAAAAAATCCAGGACCGGACTTGATTTTGGATAATAACAATTATAATTTCCGAAAAAGATTTGTCTGGATCTTAATATTAATCAAGATTCTCGAAATGTCCTCCTCCAATTTCTATGTATACATTTTCTGCATCTTTTCGGGAGATCTCTTATGGCTTTTTCAATAATTTGCCTATTATTTCTGATTATATCGGCAGCTGTAACTATCCTCTCCCAATTTTCAATTGAAATCTAACTTCTACTTGTGAGAATGTGAAAACATTGTATTCAATAAGAACAATTGTTGCTTTGGTAGCAGATTTTTTTTCGAATCAGATATACGTGCCAACTTATACTACATAGAGGGATTTTGATTTGAAGTAATATTGAATATGATCTCATTTCTTGTGAACTCTCCCAATCAGCATCAGCAAATCAAATTGTGAGTTTGGTAGTTCATCGATTCTGAATACACATGAAAAGAAGGCTGTGATATAGTAGTGTATGTCATTTTTGACGGTTGTTGAAACTGTCAAATGACATCTAGTTCATTGCTGATAATTTCAAATACATACTGTTATTAATTTTATAATTTCATATTTCATTTCATATCCTCAAGATGCCACTGCATTTCACTAACGTTGAATATGCAGATATTATTTTTGTATACGGTTTTTGTGATGGCAATTCAAGAGCTGCATTGAGAGGATATACCGAAGAAGATTCCCTGACCGGAGAATACCAAACCGCGAAACTTTTGCAAGGGTCTTTCAATTTTCGCAGGAACATGGACGATTTCCTGGAACCAGTAGGAACCTTGAACCGGAATAAATGGTGCTCGATGTCAAAATATTATCGATATGGTGGAGCAGAATCCAACAACAAGCACGAGAAGAATAGGGCATGCGTTAGGCATTTCGCAATCGAAAGTATCCAGAACTTTGAAGAAAGAGCGAATGCATCCTTATCACCTGCAAAAAGTTCAGCGGCTTGAAGAAGGCGATGAAGTTCAACGTTTATCTTTTTGTCGGTGGATTTTGAATCATCCGAGAACAGTTTCGAGAATTTTATTTACGGACGAATCACAGTTTACGCGCGATGGTATAACCAATTTGAGGAATTCCCACATATGGGCACATGAAAATCCCCATGCCATTGTTCAAAAGAATTCACAGCACAAGTTTTCCCTAAATGTATGATGTGGTGTGGTGGATGACGTTTTGATAGGGCCCCATTTTTTCGAGGCACGACTGACAGGGGACTTATATCTGAATTTTCTTCAGAACGTTCTGCCCAACTTGTTGGCGGCGCAAAATGTGAATGAAAGAGGTCTTTACTTTCAACAGGATGGGGCACCTCCACATTTCTCAATACAAGTGAGAGAATACCTGGACACCCATTTTTCTAACCGCTGGATAGGTCGTGGCGGCCCTCATTCTTGGCCTCCTAGGTCCCCTGATCTCACAGTTTTGGACTATTTTCTTTGGAGGCATATGAAACAATTGGTCTATCAGACTGAAGTCAACACCAGAGACGAACTGGGGGAGAGGATAGTTACAGCTGCAGATATAATCAGAAATAATAGGCAAATCATTGGAAAAGCCATAAGAGGTCTCCCGAAGAGATGCAGAAAATGTTTAGAAATTGGAGGAGGACATTTTGAGAATCTTGATCAATATTAAGATTCTGACAAATCTTTTTCGGAAATTATGATTGTTATTTTCCAAAATCAAGTCCGGTCCTGAATTTTTTATTGAATTATAGCTCTTCTCAAGTGTGCTGTTGAATCTTTCCAGGGAAAAATTTGATTTAATTACTTTTAGTCGAATGTAGAGAGGACGAAATCTAAGAAAGATTCATCGGTATTTTGTTTGATATTTTTTTACCAAAACGATCGAAGTGTGCCGTACGAATTGAAAAGCCATACTTGTAGTATTTTTCCTGATCTTTCTGATTCTGATAAAAGTTTTCGAAAAATCCGATCCAGAAGGTCAAAATTTTGACATCTAAAGAGAAAATGAGTTTCCCAAGTCCTGGAATTTTTTATTTATAGTACGTCATCTTGTGGAGTGTCAGTAGAGGTAAGTTGCTAGTGGATTTCAGCCGATAACATCGAGACGTTCCTGAAATATCGTTCATTGAAGTTTTGCCCCGAATTCAAATAATGCCCTGTATTTCTGTAAAGAATAGGCAAAAAATATTTTTTTACATATATATCAACTCACCTCGACCTCCGCTACCCGCCATTAGGCTATGGCTGGTTAGTCATGACTCACCCTGTATAAGCCACAATGTTTCAAAAAAGCCTGTTTTTTTCTCAAGTTTGAAGTGTTTTTATTATTATTCTTGTTAACTATAGTCCCATAGGGCATAACGCATCAACCTATACTGGGTGAGTTGGGAAAAAAGCACCAAACTGTGTGTATTGTACACGTATAATTAATTTTAAAAAACCCATATGTTCTTATACGATTCTCATTCTTTTTCATTCTAAATTTGAATAGATGTGTGACGCGTCAAACACACTGACACTGACACGAACACATGTCAGAACAACAAAACAGATGAAACAATCGAGTTTGTACAATTAAAATCTTACAAAATGCCACAAATCCATTCAAAATGAAAACAAATGAGAATCGTATCAGAACATATGGGTTTGTTTCAAATTATTTTTACGTGTACAAAACACACCTGGAGTTTGGTGCGTTCCTCCCGGCTCACCCTGTATAAGACTAAAGCCATCACAGTTGTTACTGGATATTATGTATATTTTTCAACATTCAAAGTCAAATATCTCATTTTCACCTTTCTGAGGCTTGTCATTGTTTCCCAATGAGCCCTTCATTTCTTTCCATTGTTGAAGGAAAAGGAATCTCGTGTCGACAACTTACGTTTTCTTTAGAGTGAAGAAGCTGCGACGTTTGGCGTCCTCTTTCTGTGCAGACGCGGGCAGCGTTTGCGACCGCGAGGGACCCGAAGCGTCCGCCTCGGCATGGGAAGTGATGTGGGATATCCATGTGTTCATCTCGGCATCGTCGTGCGCTTGGAATAAGAACTCGCCACCGCTATCCAACCTGTCGACGAGCAGAATGTGATAAAAGGAATTGCAGGCATCTTAGGGCCTATTTATGCATTATTGTCTTAGTCATTGTCTTAATCATAGTCTTACTAAGATGAATAGAATATTAACTCATCATATTTGGACCTTAATGCATCACAGTCTTTAGGCTTGAAAATTATGATATGATAATTGACGATCCGTCAAGAGATCCGTCAGTAGATAGGGTACAAAAACAAATTCTATACACCAGAGATGAAATGTAATCTATTTACAAGTCAATGCCATGATTTGTGACATTGATTTCCAAGAATTCTCTATTGCAAAGGACCCCGCACTTTTTCTATATAAAAATGGCGTTCCGTCGAATTTCCCCAATTTTTGGTAAATGATAGTACTCGACATACTGATTGAATATGCCAAGTCCCAACTCAATCCTATGACTAGTTTACGAGATACAGGGTGTTGAAGTTGAAGAATACCTAATTTTTCTCGGCCTATATCTCTAAGATAGGACAAATGAATTCCAATTTTTCGGGAGCACGTAATAGTTATGCCCTTAGGCGCAAGAACTATATAGGTATTCGACCAAAACTGATTTTTATTACAGGGTGATTCTCATTTCAAATAATGTGTTTTTTTGAATATCTGAATATCAATGCTACAAATTGATAACAATTACAAAATGAGATTTATAGCCAAGTATGCTCTTCTTACATCAATTGAATTCGTAAAATATAATAATTATACATGGTGTTTCATTAATGCTGTTGATTGCATAATTGGTCTATCCTAAAGTTCATTGGGCCACCTCGTATTATCGGGTTGATTCCAGACATTCAAAATATTTTTGAAGGATGTATCCCAATGAGTTCCATGATATACAGAGTGATTCATCGATTGAAAAAATTGACAACCACGAAAAAATATTCAAAAACCACTATTTTTTTCATCACCCTCTAATTCGAAATTATTACCGTCGATGTAAGATTTTTTTCCACCAAAATACTCAGTATGGATATTTCAATCAAATTGGGAATTTTCAGACCCATGCTATGACTAGTTTTTTTTATACATCGAATAATGTGAAAATAATTATGGAAAAGTAATTACATAATAACACGAAAAATTGCTCCGAATCGCAAAACTAGTAGTCACTAGTCAACTATGTCAAAAAATGTGATTTGTTCGTAAACAAAATCTAGTGGTCTTATTATAGGTCCGCTAGCAAAACATCTCGAAAATGTTTTTCAGAAAACATCAAACAAATCACAATATGCCCCCGAAAAAATCTCATCAACGACACAACTCATCAACGATCCCACTCATATAAACGTGCTAAAACTCATGAGCGTTCCAAGTCGACAGCGGTTTTTCCCAACTCAATCCTATGACTATACTTTTCGAAAAAAATATGAAACTAAACTTCCGCAAACGCCTAGTGAGAGGTGCGCGTTAATATATTTTGCAACTCTCCTTTATCCAACCAACTTCCAATCTTTTGATCATACTGTATATTGTTAGAATCGAAGTTAGTATATGCACATCGGAAAGACACTAAAGTTGGAGTTTTGGTTATGTAGATATTCGTTACCGGGTTCAGTATAGACTTGAAAGAAAAATGGAATACAGGAACATCAGTAGGTACCGAGGAATCATCATTTATCCAACACATCAAAAATATAGTAAAATAATAATGAAACAATCTCGAAGCCTCTTTCTTCCACTCAATATCAATTCAGAATTGCAATCATAGATTTTGAAAAAATACATGAACCAACTCGTTTTCCAACAACATCTATTTGTTGGAAGAAATAGTGGCATTAGGTAATGTATATCGTAAGATATACATACCGTAATAGATCGATAGACATCCTCAAATAACTATAAAATTATATTTTAGGGTAAGTTCTAGTCCCAATTCAAGTTGACAACTGATATTTTCGGAATCGGCGGGGTCGAATTAGTCTAGAAACTTGGGTTGTCACGAATTAATAAGTATGTTTTACTTCGTAGAAGTCGAATTTGGATTATCGCAACCAGATAGAATATTTTTCAGTAGGCTTAGAAAACAAAATCATGATATCAATAAATGTGTCTGTCATCCAGCAACTTTCGGGTTGTCAGTATCTTAAAATATCATATCAGCGTATATCTTTATTCTGAGTGTTTTTTAAGTCGTTTTCAGTAATTGTTTAGTGAATTTAGTGCGCATTATGGCATTTGCAAATAGGGTAAGATGTTATGTATGCGAAGGGAATTTCATTCCTAGACTCACAATTTGTATAAATCGTGAAGATAATGTTGATTTTCTGCAAATTGCAACATTTAGAAGACAAGCTGCTGGAAATCCTCCAATTGACATTTTTGATGATACCAGAGTTTGTTTCAATTGTCATAACAGTGTAATAATTGATATCAATGAGATGTAAAATAACCCAAACTGTCTTCGCCTAAATGTATTGAGTCCAGGAATGAGCCGTGCCTGCATAATCTGTAATGCTCGTCAACATGTTCAGAGAATAACTCTTGCATGTAGGGTGAACATTTTTGTTGTAACGAATATTTATGTTCCGGACTTTCTGAGAATTTGTGGTCATCATCTTGACCCTCATGGATTTCTCTTGAATAATTTGCATGGAGGTTTGAATTTTATCAACAAACCCTATTTGATATCAAATATGCTTCAATTTCTACAGTGTATGAGAACAGTTGCCAATGAAAATAGACGTATTAGAAACTGGGATGATATTGATAGTTTTACAGAAGAAGAGTTCAAAGCTCTGACGTCGATTTCAAAAGAAGATTTTCAAGAACTTTATGGATTTTGTGATACAATCGAGCAAGGGGGAAATAGAAGGCATATCAAAAAGAAACATTTACTGACATTTCTAATCAAAATGAAACATGGAGTTTCAGATGAGTTTTTGAAAATCTTGTTTCATTTTTCTTCAAGACAAACAACTAGCTTGATAATATCGAATGTGAGGATATCTCTAATGCAAAGATTTGTAACTAATAATATTGGTTTCGACTCTATTACAAGAGACGATTATATTAATAGACACGTGTCTGTATACACCAATCAGCTATACAACCCTTCTCCCAATATCCCAAAAGCAATTGTGTATATAGACTGTACATATAACAAAATAGAAAAAAGTAGTAATTTCCGGATATTGAGACAATCCTACTGCTTCCATAAAAATGAGCACCTGGTTAAGCCTGAAATTATGGTCGCTCCTGATGACTACATCTTGGCAATTAATGGTCCATACTTTTCTGATGCTAGAAATAATGATGCCACCATTCTGCAGCATGAGCTACAGAATGATATAAATAGAATGAGGACATGGTTTCAAGAAGGCGATGTAGTGATAGTCGATAGGGGTTATAGGGACTCTATTGGTCTTTTACAGGATCTTGGTCTCCATTACCATATGCCACCATTTCTACCACCAAACCAAAGACAACTCACAACAATCGAAACTAATAGGGCACGCTTAATTACTAGCACCAGATGGATTGTAGAGGCTAGAAATGGGCATTTCAAATCGATTTTCAAATTTTTCCGAGGAGCGATATCAATAACACATGTTGCAAAATTACGCGAATTCTATTTGATTGCTGGCGCCCTAATGAACAAATACCATCCTCCAATAAGGATGCCGGGCACATTGGAATTAGCTACACAAATGTTGCATGATATCGAAGAAGTCAACATTGTTCAGGCCCGAGTTGAGGCTGAAAACCTCCGTACAAGAAATGGTCGATGGTTTCGTTTGAACCATAGACATGTACCGACGTTTCCTCGACTTGACTTAGAATATTTGAAAACACTCACAGGGTCATATCACATTCACTTAGCTGCCTCCTACATACAAGACACGATACAAAGAGATGGAGGGGAACAAAATACACTCGATATTGACGAACTCATTGAGGAACCCAATTTTTTAAGATTTCGAGTATTTTCTCGGTTCAGAAATGCCACTAAACATATGCTGTGGTTAGTATTCAGAGAAATCGATGATAATAATTTACAAGATCCGCCCATTTTAGGGTACTACTGTACTTGTAGGTCCGGTGCTAGAACATTAGGGACGTGTGCACACGTAGCCAGTGTGGTATGGTTCCTTGGATACGCAAGAAACCAAGGAAATATTACCTTTCCATCTGATCGCCTTTTGAATTGTATCGACGATGCTGCAAATCGATTGAATCCTGAAAATATGAACATCGGTCCGGAACTGATTTGAATCTGGCGATTAGTTGATTTCTGTGTTCCTTGTGAAACATAATTATAGTAGTAGTAGTAGTATATGTCCTTCGTTGGTAGGTATGTACATACCAACCAACCATCGATCCCTAATGAGGTCCTTTAGCCCATAGTGTTCTGAACATGTATCTATATTGTATGTAGGCACGCAACAGTGAATCGTGCAGGACTATCCCCAGCCGATGCTCCGAAACTTCACAATATTTAATTCGTATATTAATATTCGAAAAATTCCTTGCGCTGTCTGGGAATCGAACCCACGACCCCGCAGTCCTGACTCGGGTGCTCGTCCACTGCGCCAATCCTGCCTACACACAATCATATTATAGGTATTGGAACTTTCACTTTCTAACGTGGACTAGGCCTACAGGGGATACCACAATAAAAAAAACGCGCCTGAAACTCTACCTCTCAGGTGGTGGGGAAACGAGTTGGTTTGTCTATTTTTTCAAAATCTGTGATTGAAATTCTTAATTGACATTTTTCTTTCAGGCCTATACTGAACCCGGTAACGAATATCTACATAACCAAAACTCCAACTTTAGTGTCTTTGCGATGTGCATATACTAACTTCGATTCTAACAATATACAGTATGGTCAAAAGATTGGAAGTTGGTTGGATATAGGAGAGTTGCAAAATATATTAACGCGCACCTCTTACTAGGCGTTTGCGGAAGTTTAGTTTCATACTTTTTTCGAAAAGTAGTCATAGGATTGAGTTGGGAAAAACCGCTGTCGACTTCGAACGCTCATGAGTTTTAGCACGTTTATGAGTGGGATCGTTGATGAGTTGAAAGTTGATGAAAGGGGTGCGTAGAATAGTTGTGTCGTTGATGAGATTTTTTCGGGGGCATATTGTGATTTGTTTGATGTTTTCTGAAAAACATTTTCGAGATGTTTTGCTAGCGGACCTATAATAAGACCACTAGATTTTGTTTACGAACAAATCACATTTTTTGACATAGTTGACTAGTGACTACTAGTTTTGCGATTCGGAGCAATTTTTCGTGTTATTATGTAATTACTTTTCCATAATTATTTTCACATTATTCGATGTATAAAAAAAACTAGTCATAGCATGGGTCTGAAAATTCCTAATTTGATTGAAATATCCATACTGAGTATATTGGTGGAAAAAAATCTTACATCGACGGTAATAATTTCGAATTAGAGGGTGATGAAAAAAATAGTGGTTTTTGAATATTTTTTCGTGGTTGTCAATTTTTTCAATCGATGAATCACTCTGTATATCATGGAACTCATTGGGATACATCCTTCAAAAATATTTTGAATGTCTGGAATCAACCCGATAATACGAGGTGGCCCAATGAACTTTAGGATAGACCAATTATGCAATCAACAGCATTAATGAAACACCATGTATAATTATTATATTTTACGAATTCAATTGATGTAAGAAGAGCATACTTGGCTATAAATCTCATTTTGTAATTGTTATCAATTTGTAGCATTGATATTCAGATATTCAAAAAAACACATTATTTGAAATGAGAATCACCCTGTAATAAAAATCAGTTTTGGTCGAATACCTATATAGTTCTTGCGCCTAAGGGCATAACTATTACGTGCTCCCGAAAAATTGGAATTCATTTGTCCTATCTTAGAGATATAGGCCGAGAAAAATTAGGTATTCTTCAACTTCAACACCCTGTATCTCGTAAACTAGTCATAGGATTGAGTTGGGACTTGGCATATTCAATCAGTATGTCGAGTACTATCATTTACCAAAAATTGGGGAAATTCGACGGAACGCCATTTTTATATAGAAAAAGTGCGGGGTCCTTTATCTTTGTATTTTGAGTCTTTCTTGTCCCAAATATGGGGATATTTCTCTACCAAATCTATTAGGGTTCCTTCTTCCAGGCTCATGATTTTTTGATATTTATAATCAAATGTAATCAAATCATCAGAATGATGTAATCAAGACTGTGACTAAGACTGAGAAAATGATGCATAAATAGGCCTTTACTTGTCGAATATGTGCAATCAATCAATCAATCAATCATTTATTGTTCATTGAAAAAAAAAAAACGTTTATTGTCCAAACAGGTGAGGCACCCAATTACAGGACATGCAAGACAAATAAATTTCATATTCATGCATTCATTTTGGTACATTTTACACAAAACTTTCATGTTTGAATACTGAAGGATATATTCCTTAGGAAATTAAAAAAAAACAGTCTAATTTTGTTGAATAAAGATCGATTTTGTCGCAGACATTGATGAAATGGCTACACATTGTATAAACAGGAGATCTTGCCAGAGTGTTTGTTCTTGGTGTTCTACGATAAAAACAGAATTCGTTTCTGTTGCTCATACGCGGTACAAGAAAATGGAGCTGAGACAGAACATGACAGAAGATCTGGGCAGTCGACAAGATAGTGTGTAAGCTTATGAATGAATACGCACGAGTAATAATTTCTTCAGTCTTCCAGCGAGAGAAGTGAAAATCGATTCAATAATATAGAGATATCTATACCCTGCTCAGGATATACCCCATCGATTTTGTGAACACGGTACTTCCAAAATAATCTCTGTACAGATTCGAGATTTTGTTTATGAGTCGAATGTATAGGGGACCAAATCAGTAAACCATACCATAAGCGAGATCTCACGTAGGAGTTGAATAAATTTATCAAACTATCTTCATTTATCTAACTATCTTCATTTCCATTCTCTTTGCTGGAGTTTTGAATCGAAATGAATACCGATATCTTTTGATAGATCATTTTTTTCAAGATTTATACCGTCGATGTTGTAATCAAATTCAATAATGTTTAATTTCGAGGAATATATGTCGCGAGTGACACTTTTTAATGTTGAGTGGTAGATTATTCGCAGTGCACCAAGTAGCTATTTGGTTGATATCGTTTTGAAGCAGTTGACCAGCTATTGAATCGATACACCGAAATAGTTTCAAATCATCAGCAAAAAGGAACATTTTACTAGATATGTTATGGGTAATATCATTCATATAGAGGTAAAACAGCAATGGCGCGAAATTACTCCCCTGCGGTGCCCCACTAGTAGCAGTGAATGAATGTGATTTGTGTCCCCTATATTCAACGAATAAAGAGCGGCCTGTGAGATAAGAACGAAAAAAGTTCAAGAAATCGTCATCGAATCCTAAATTTATTAGTTTTAAAATCGTGTGATCCATTTTGTCGAAGGCCTTCAAGAAATCTGTATATATCGTGTCGACTTGAGACTGCGCGTCAATGGCATCGCAGGCCATTTGTGTGAAACACATCCAGTTTGTAATGATTGATCGTTTAGTTATAAAACCATGTTGCTATATTTTTTAATTGTTCATTTCATCGTCCAATTATGACATGTTTTCCAAACCTACACACACATGTAGTAACAAAAAAACAGAGCAACTCAGATACACAGTTCTGTTGTTTCACAAGAAGAGAGAAACAAAAATAAAAATCACAGGTTATTCATTTAATATGATCGAACGCAGTTTCAAAACATTCCATATATATGTAGCTGTAGCTTTTGCTATCGAAGCCGTAATATTCTCGAGAGCAAGTAGCAATGCGTCAAGGCTGTTCAAATAAGAGCAGTCGGAAGTCTCATAGAGCAGACATCTACAGAGTCGATGAACACAAAATACTGTCTCACTTGAAGTGACCAATTGAAACGCTCGTCACTGTTGCTGAACCTCAATTGACTCAAGAAGCAAAGTTTAGGTAGTCGACTTTTTTTCATCAAAAATAGTTTGCTTAGCTAGTTTAGAGTGAATTTGAAGACATTGTAGGATATTTCCACACGTCGAACATGTGCTATACACCGTTGGTTTTGGAAGATCAAAAGCTCTCAAAATCCATGATAAAATATCTAGGGCCGTATTTAAAAAAACTAAGTTGATGATGGCAGCTCAAAGACAAAACGTCATTTTGTGAGTCTGATAACACAATCTTGTAGAACAGAAAAAGTAGCAATGAGAATGTGTAATATGTTTTGTTGCATTTATTTAAATAGAGTCTTGAAAATATAAATATAAAATTGCGATTTTTTTTTTCAAAATCTTTGAATGTACTCGGAATTTTTCAAACTTCAGAACGGCATTTTGTTATGAATGAATTTGCACAACTTTGTCATATATTAACTGACCCTGTATATCTTACGGTTTACCAGATCCCAATGATGAGGCTCGAATTTCAGCCAGCTATACAATATTCATTCAGATTGTAACATTTTTGAAGTTGAAGTCAACGGTTTCAATAATTCGGATTTGAAAAAACTCCTTTGAAAGAATCGTTCGCTATTCTATTTGGGTCTGACAATCAGAGAAATGACTCGCTCACACTACACATTCAGACTGCTGTTTCCTTTCACTTTGGAGACTTGCAGAACATCTCTTTCCAAAGACTCGTTCATCCAACGAACAGCGAGGCTCTGGAACACATTGCCAAGGAAGGTGTTCCCCGAGGCATATAACCTTCAGAAATTTAAGAAGAACACCAATTCCTACCTCATTTTCCTTGGTTCTCACGATGTTCTCTGAACATTACAGGATATCCGTTTTCGTGGGAACCAGAACATAAAAAAAACAAGCGTTCACCACTAAACAGAAACTTACTTCAGCCTGAACACGTGCTTCTTCTTCTTGTAATCCTGCGCTACGCTCGCCACCGCCTTGCGCACGTCGAGCGGCGCCTCGGCCTTGAAGCGCTGCTCGGGCGTCGTCTTCGCCGTCTTGCCGTCCTTGTAGAAGGCCAGCCGGCGTCCTTTCAGCACGCAGAACACCTTGTCCCACGACCGTTGGCTCGCCTTCGTCGTCGTGCTCTCCCACTCGTGTTTGCGGACGAGCGTGCCCTCGAACGCGTCGTCATCGTCTCCTACGCTGGATGGTTCTAGACGGGAAGTGGGGTTAGGAAAAAACGGTTCTACGACACTTTATCCGCGGACACAATATCTGCGACATTATATCCGCATGCCAATATATCCGCGACACTACATCCGCAACGAAGAAAATTTTAATTAATTAAAATAAAAATTTAATATTAAAACAAATACCATGATGATAAACATGGATCCTCAAGACTGGGAAATTCTAGGAGAATTTTGTGAATCGATTGTCAGACTGTTTCGGCTTTCCAAGCATCATCAGTTGCACATGGGCTGCAGACAATCAATTCACGAAGGTTACTGCTGTATACAAGTGTACGCTTGACAGGTGATAGCCCTCGTGATTTCATAATCACTGAGATAGGGACACACGGTCTTCAAGTGTTCAGTTCTCGAGATACAGGGCGTTAAAGTTAGTAGATTAGATACTATTCAGATATCATTCTGTAACTGAACAGAAATAGTTATTACACGCATAAAGAGACAACAAGAATTTTTGTAATTTTCTACTACTGAGGAAGAAGAAAAATTACTATGCAAACTTTTGTTTTGAGTCAAATATCTCGATAACTGTTCATTTTAGCTCAGTTGAAGGTGATGCATTTTTCATCTGTGGCGTAGAAATTATGGGAGGGAAAGTTATCACAACCCTCTGTGGCGCACCTCTGGATAAAATTCTCAGAATGTTTTTCTGGTCGAAAAAATAACCATTGAAAGATGAATCCATATACCGAATTTGAATTCATTACATTAAATTTTTCTTGAGATATTGCGAAAAAACTATTTTAATTTCTTAACTTCAACGACCTGTATCTCGAGAATTGAACACTTGTTGACCGTATGTCCCTATCTCAGTGATTATGAAATCACGAGAGCTATCACCTGTCAAGCGTTGTCGGTCGAATTTAGCAACACCCTGTATATATGCACCAAAACAAGGCCAACAACGAGCAGGAGGACTATCTATAGCCTTTCAAGCAATCTTTCTTAACTAGGCCTTCATGAACTTTCATCCTAGAATAATGTTATTCGGAAATTTACTTCAGCGAACAAGAGACAACATTTTCTAAACAATCTTACCATACTCAGCCTGAATGGCCTTTCTTCCTAGAAAGTATATTTTTCGGAAGATTACTTAAGAACAATAAAAAAGCCCCAGAGCTCGCAGTATTATTTATTGGCTTAGTAGAAACATTATTTCTATGAAGAAACAAATTGCCTGACGCAGATATCGCGTATCGGCGGATTTCAAGGTCATCAGTTGACGTTACGATAACATTTAGCAATAGGGAAAACATGTCTGACTTTCAATCAGAGCCAGATGTGAGAAATGTTTTCCTCATTGCTAAACATCATCGCAACGTTTGATGATAACCTTGAAATTCGCCAATTGTCAGAGAATTCATCTGCGCGCGAGTATTCAGAGAGCCATCGATGGAAATTTTGCAGCTAGACGCTTGTTTCGGGTGCTGGTTTTCTTTGGGTATTCTCGTTCCTGAAGTCTATAATGTATACAAATAGGTGAAAACAAGTGATAGAAAACAGAATGATGATTGCCATTGACACATGCGAATATAATAATGCGGATATAAGGCCACGGATATACTGCCGCTCGGATTTAATGGCCATAGATCAAATGGAAAGAGGCACTGGGCGACTCACAGTGAGTGAAGGGATTGTATTGTATCTGAATGAGAAAGCTAGTAGGCAAGTGAGAATACTGGTATTGTCGGCCAAGTAAAAAAGCGTAAATCACTGATCCAGTTCAGTTCTAGTGAAATATTTATGTTGGTTCAGAACGAAAGATTATCACTCATCAGTGCTATGATAAATCCTTAATGTTTGCACTTCTCTTTATATTGTTGAGAACTACCTATGCACTAAGAAAATTATTCGAAATCAACAATATAATTCAACCAATCGAATAAAATGACTTATCAAGGAAATTTATGATCTAATTTACTTCATCAATACCAACTAACACTAATGGAAGAAATAATTCAAAGTCAGAACTATCAGAATTCAGAACCCATGAAAAATTATACTTTTTAATTACCTTGATATCGATCATCTCAGGTTAGGTAAAGTTTCAAATAATAAATAGAAACTTTAGAATTGAAGCAAATGGGCTATTCACAGTTTCCAGCACAGCAGTAAAATGACAAGGCAGACAGATTCCGGGTCAGTGAGCAGACAAATTATACCCACTTGCCTACTAGCTAGAGCTTTCCACTTATATCGATAATGGTAAAGGCTATCACAGATAAGGATTTCTTTATAAAGAGTGTTTCAATAAAAGTGATCATGTTTTCAATAGATTTTACGATTTTATCTGGTAATTTTTTCAGAAATCATTCGCTGCCACATTAAAATGGGTCCATTCGCTGAAAAAAATTAACAGTTTCCTCGAAACATATTTGTGGTTCCTATTACTTGAATCAGAAAACAGTATATTGTAACATAAATAATAAGCACAAAAATGCAGACAAATACATTGGCACACAGAAGAGATTGGCAGCTTAGACACTTCAATTTTTTTTTATGTAATTTCTTCCTCGGACATACCACCTGTTTTCCGAAGCAAACTGAAAGAAAATGCAAGAACTCACATGACCAGATATTTTTCTATGGACGAATTTATAGTTCAAGACAGTGAATTTGGAATGAAAACCTCCATTTCTAGCTGCGCAGTTCCTGATAGAAACTACAAACTAGCGTCTAGCAAAAGATTTTAAAATGGATTCTGTACAATCGGTTTTTGTTATTTATTCATTTGTGATAACATGGTACAATTTGAATATAGTCTATTTGGAAACAAGAAGTAGACACTTACTTTACAAAGTTAAGAAACATACCTACTATCAGTACAGTGTATAAAATAACATAAAATAAGTTTTTCTTACATGAGATGAGTAAACCTTATATTAATGAGTTCAGTTTCCCTTAGAGATGATTCTCAACTGCTATTTAAAATTTTCACCACTTACACCAGGAGTGCTCAAAAAGTCGATCGCAAGAGCTTTTGGAACCGATCACGAAAAAATAAATAATACTCCACGAACGAGTCCACGAATTACATTACATTTTTTTTTAGATTTAGGTTGGTGCATCATGTAATTGGTTATTGGGCAAAGTGGTGTACAATGACATTCACCATGAATATCGATACATTTACCCACTGTGACGCCACTGGAAATATTATTTCGAATCTCATTGTACTAGAAGAAGCTCCATATTACTATAAACAAAATGGCGTTTTATTGAAATTGATGAAAAGACAATTGAGAAATGAATAGAAAGAAGATTTTTCATTAAAATATTAATACCCTGTATCTCGAAAACGAAGCAAGTTAAGACACAAGTTTATATGAACTTTATTTCCTAAAATATCACGAGGAATCACCCCTCGAATTTTTTAGGTGTTATTTAGATACACCCTGTATATAGAGCAGTACAAGTTTAGTGTTGATCATGGATAGGTCATACCATCTTGGGTTTGGGATTGCGCGACGCTTCATCTCACATGCAGGACTCTCAATAAAAAAAAGAGTAGCAATTCTAGATAAAATACGGAACATTGGCCACATATCCCGTTGAATTATGAGAGTTCTTATCATCTGGAGAATGAGTGCGAGATAGGTCTCTAGAGACAAATGGATGGTATTGATTAATGCAATAGTGTTCCTATAACAAAAAAGGATTCCTTCACTGAGGAGACAAACTATCTGCAAAATGATTTATAATCAGGCAGGCACATGGCGGGACAGCCTGTATAGTTTTATTATAAGAAAACACTAACAATCAATCGAATCACACAGAAGGTCCTAAAATGGTAACAAACACAGCACAACAACACTGTAACTTTTGACATACGTGAATGACTTTTAGAAAACATATGCGTCACTCATAGTAAACTGGCCAATACAGCGGTGCCACATTTATTCCCACAATACATTATAATTTCAAATGATGAAATTAGGAAAATTTGAATAATTTTACTACATATTTCAATCAAGGAACAAACTTACAGAATGAATATACATAAAAAATGTATATTATAAAATTTATGCTTGATTAATGCATCCTTCGTTTTCAAACACAGGCAGTAATAAGAAATTTGTCATCATCATTTTCTGATGAAAACGATGTTGGATCGGAACAAAATGCAAACGATTTCGTCTTCCCTATTTCTCTATCTCTATGGGCCCAGATCATGTGAATTCTCGCAAATTAAACGAATCAAAATACCTACCTTGCGATGTAGCAGACAAGCCCGACGCCCCCTCGTCGTCGCTGTGCGTCCCCGAGGCCTTGGAGCTCCTCTTCCAGCGGAAACTCCTGAAGGGAGACTTGCTGCGCGAGCGCGTCTTGCGCTTCGCCTTCTCTTCGGCTCTCGATACTGGCAAATGCAAAACATCAAACGGATAAAGCGGACGGACGGACGGAACAAGAAGCGGATAAGCAACATGAAACGACAGCCGGCGTGCTCGAGGAAGAAAGCTCTCAAGTATTCGTTCACTTCAGCGAGTTGGTTCGGTTAACTAACTGAGCATACAATGTGTCCCGCTTTTCATGAATACACCTCAATATCTCAGTTATTAAAGATGCGACTTTCTGTAAATTTTGGTGGTGATTGTATGTTAGAACAATCAATTATTCAGCAGAGTGAACAGTTTTATTCACCATTGGCGTGCGATGTTGAGGGCAGGGTTGTTCCGTTCTAAACATTTTATTGTAATCGACTGTTTTAAAAATGTTTCAAAAGTTTGCTCAAGTTTGAAACAGTTTTTGTTTGAAACAGTGTAAAACATGTTTAAAGCACTTGATTTAAACAAGCGTTTTTTTTTTCTTTCTTCATTTGTAATGAATAAAAATAGGAAAAATTCTCACTTCAACTCTGAAACGCCCTGTATATTTCTTGTTTTGGACACGCTTCAGAATTATGAACACCTATTGCAAGTTTCGGCATTAAATGCTAGTTTATTGTTGTAATGTCAACTAATGCCGATATATTTCTTATATTGCCGACTAATGCCTAAATGCTGAAAATTATTATTATTACATGGAAATCAATACCTTACGACTAGAATACCTCATTATGCCCGTTACCAATTATTCTAAACATGTCCGTTTGAAACCATCGTAATACTCATTTCTAACAGAAACTACTGATAGCAAATATAAGTATTCCACAGTTCAAATATCCAAATTATCCGAAATGTTTTGTTGCAAGTTCTTTGTTCAGGAAAGTGAATATATGAATTTCCTTCAAATACTAGTTTGAAATATATTTTTTTAATTGCGGCTCATCAATTAGCACTGAGATGACCACTTTCGCGCACCCCCACCTTGGTATATATGAATACCGGTCTAATTAGTGTGAAAAGGTACTGCGACATTGCTTTTACGAACTTGAGAAAAGCCGCACTCTATTGTTTCTATAACATAGTGAAAACCGCTATCTTCAACTTGTTATGCCTGTGATTGTTCGTGTTACACAGTGACAACCGCATTTCTTATATGCGTTTTCGGACACATCTGCTATGTGCGAAGTTTGAGGAGAATTACCACATCAAACGACGACGATCTACGAAAGGGCCCTTTCTTCACTGCCTGCAGCTCAACCAGAAACTTCGAGAACCATCTCCTCGATCTCTTACTGCTGAACGAATTTTGTAATTTTGCCTTGATTATTACATAATCGCTTATCGAAAATATCGGTTTCAAAATGTCCATTTTTCTCTGATATAATCGAGCTTATCGATTTGCAACAGATATTAGGACTAATTTTAGATAAATCTCATCACAATCACAATTTTGAGAAAATCGCATCATTAATAACTTGGATATCAGGGTGTATTCATAAAAAGCGGGACACACTGTATTCATCACTAGCCATATTTAGAACCCGTTATCATTTTTTCGTAATCCCATACTGTCATTCTGATTTAACGGTATTGATTATGACAATTGGAAAATTGATATTAACAGCCTCCGTCCAGCGGCCTTTATAATATTATTGTGATGTTGTTAAGCTGTTCCATGACAACATGATGTTGGGATTTGTCTGTAGAATCACGAGATACGTGGTTTGTTCTTTCCTCGGAATCAAAATGTAATCTTTCAGCGGGATTACGAAAACTCTCGGAAGACACAAGGCCGATGAGCAAATAACAGATTCGGTTGTACAATATTTCCTACATATCGGCCTTGTAACTGTATAGAAACCAAAGAATTTGAAAGATTCAGTCTCTACAGGCTGATTCATGGGAACCGTCCGAATTGGAAGAGTGAATCGGTCAAGTGTTCTAAAAGATGTGGGTGGATGAAGTTCCTCAGGTAAACTATTTACGAAATCGAATTAAACTTCTTATATTTTATGACAACAAAATCAAAGGTTCATCTTTAGGTCGTTCCCCGTCACAGCACACAAATTCCTACACTTGAACGTTTTCTGATAATTATCACAATAAACGTCCAACACAAAACTTGAACCGAAAAAATGTGTTGAACTGGTCCACATGAATGTCACACTTATAGGTTTTAATAAAAGTAGAAGTTCTTTAATACCGTACAAAATAATCATAAATTCGTTCTAAGATCTCATAATTATATGAGGCCAATAGATTTCCATCCATTCTGCGTTATCCCCAACTCGCTTGATCTCAATTTAGAATAGATCAACAATACATCTGTCATAATGGGTTCAACGTATAAATGTGTTAATCTTTGGTAAAAGTCCATAGTTTCCCAAAGTGGAGTTAAGTAGTAACTTCTAAATCATCTCCACGACAAATAAATGGGAAAAAAGTGAATCAATACATGAAAACAAGTTTGCTGAGTAAACAAATCAAAATTAAGGAAACTTGAATTTGGATCACAGGAAAAGTATCTAACCGAGTTGATATGATGATTGAAATCAAACGACAGGAATGGCTCAACCAGCAATGGCTGAACCAGCAATGGTTTGATAAAGAACAAATTTTTGACAGTTGTACAAGAAACGTCTAATAAATATTATTTATTTTGGGCATGTTAATCATTTTCTTCACATGATACTTGATATCGAACTTGATTCCTCGAGACGCCTTCAATAATTCCAAAATCGAAACATTCAGAAAACTTACGTGTCTGTGAGCGAGGAGACGCTGCTGGTGACGATTTAACCGGCGTGTTTGGCAACGTTGCTGGCCTCGTCTGGCGTTCTTCATGCACTACGGAACATGCTCATGCGTTACAAACCATGCAAAATATATCTATGTACTAGATTTACAACTATCATTAAGGAGCCTAAAAATGTAAGCATTGCTAAGAATGCAAAATAACGCGAAAAATATCATCGATTTATCACCAAAGAACAATGTACATTGAACTCGTCGATATAAAATATGGCATGGATGATATTGATGATATGAACATTTTGAAATGAGAATGAATATTATGGTTATGTAAAGAAGTAGAAATTAAGAATGCCTGCTGAGGATTTCATTGCATACAAAACCACCTCACTATCTAAAAGTCAGCCATCTTGATCAGATTGTTATTCTTTGTATTTTTCCATCAATGAATCGAAGAATGAACATCGGTAACAGAATGAACTTTTTTTTTAGATATTGATGAACAATATTGATGAATCAGATAAAACACATTTGAAAAATCGGGAGATTTTATTATGCATGAATTAGTTTCAATATTAAAATATGTTCTATTGATTCATCTGTAACAATGTTGAAAAACTTGTTAAAGTTTAGATAAGCTCCAGCATCAGATATATGAATTGTTGTTAATTTGAATCAGGGTAAAGTCCACGAAAAAACAGTACTGGCAATGAAAAAAAATTAGAAGAATGATCAAAGCATGAATAATGAAAACCCCTGTATGTAACTTGACATCATTATACATAATTTGAATAAATCATTTCCTATATAGCTGAAATCACTAAAATACAGCAAAGCACAAAAGTAGCAGTGAGTTCATGCGATTGAAGCAAAAAGTATTTTATTGTAACTTACCTCGATGTTAAAGAATAGTACTTATTAGAATATTATGTTTTACTGTTGCATTTGTATTTGTTGCATTTCAAGTTATCTTTAGGCGGTTTTATTGTAACATCAATACATATTTAATAATTAATAACCAATCACCTATGAAATATACAATAATTGTTACTTGTGCGCGATATTTGCCGAACATTTATAGACATGTAGTGCATAGTGATATATCCTTATATTCATGACAAAAGCAATAGGAACCATCACCAGTTAATTGCACATCACTTGAAATAAATACAATATACAAATATACAAAGGAAATGATGGTAGTATGATTTATGTATTTTACCTTCACCAGGAGAGCTAGCATTGATAGAAGAACGTTTTCTTTCTCCAGCTGCATTAATCAAGTGTCAAATATGAATTTTTATACCATTGAAATATACAATAGACATTTTGAAGAAAATTAACATTCATTGTACCATGAATGAAGGAATGAACGGGCCTGAAAAACTGGATAACATTTGAATGAATCAATAATGAAGTCACATTCGTCTAATGTTGACTAATTTATGTTATTCATCAATTCACATGACCACTTACACCCAGATGAAATTTGAGGTGTGAAAAAAAGGATTTTTTTAGATATTTTTTGATTAATAAATGATGAAAACTTCGAATGGATTCAAGCTTATTCTTCATATTAAAGAACATATTCGAGGATTATCAATTATAATCTAGAAATAAAAGAAGAATACAAAGATTTGGTATTGAAAACGAAGTGAGAAATTGGTTTCTGAAACTACCAAGTATTTGAAATTGTGCAAAAATACATTAATTTCTTCTAATCAGAACCTTAATTCATCTTATATATGTTCCTGAATCGGTTGCAAAATTATTGATGAAATGTTCCAAGAACTTTTAGATTCTTACTATAAACGAAAATGCAATCAATGATCAACTATTATCATTTAGAAATATGAATATCCAATTTTTCATGGACGGTTTATTCTCCATTTTGACTTGACAACAAAAAATGTTCAATAATTTGATTTTATAATGTTTACAATGAAAGTAAACTAGATCTGAATATCATGGTTGAAAAACGAAACGTGTATGGTTAACTATGCGGTCCTACCCAATAGATAATGCATATAAAAGATACAGTGACTTCAACATAATTTCACTTCATCAATTTCAAATAGATGACTAATAAAACCTTGAATTGAGGTATACTCCATGGGTAAGAAGCAATACAAGATTAGTATTCATTGAGACTTGGGAAAAATGTTTGCTGTTATCCACTTCATTTGAGGAAACCCAAACAAAATGAAATTTCGATGACAGTAAAAATTCATTCTCTTTCAATATAACTATAATTTCTGTTCTTCACACTTTCAAACCAGTATCAGTGAAGAATTTATCTTTCTCAAGTTCTTGTTCTTAATGCAAAAATAATACACTTCATCGATCAATTTACAGACAGTAGTTGGAAAATAACACAATTATAAACAAATATTTTTTTCGGAGCCGCTTCGATATTGAGGAAAAAAATAAACTCAACATTTTCTCATCCCCGAAACTAATGAAACAGATATAAGAATAATACAAAAATACACATCAATTTTATAAGATCTCTTTTCATGAGATGACTCTAATTCACAGTCATCTTCATTATCGAACAAATCGGCACCACTGTAAGAGTGCCATCCGTCCACGCGCAAAAAACTAGAATGGCATGAGCACAATATGAAATATTCACTTAAAATACCAGGAGGAAATTTTTTCGAGAACACGAATTTTCTAAATATTCGTGTTCGAGAAAGAATATCCGGTTTTTAATTGAAGCTAGAGTGCAATTGGGCTGGAAAATATCACACCGAAATTATAAAAAAGGCTAGGATAAGATAATGCTGAATAAAATACAAAATACCCAATTTAGTTATGCAAAAATTAATAAAGCAGATGAAGTTGGTTCGAACTATTATTCTAGACTAACTATATTCCACAAAAAATGGTGGAAATATATTTTGTTACAAGGAACTCGACAGTGTGTAGTTTTCCATGACATTGTTAGGTTGAATAAAATATAATTAACTTACTTTAGTTACACAAAATGATGAAAAATAAGTCGATGGTAGCTCAATTTTTTCAGTTTTTCACAAGTTCATTTTACTAAAGTTGTTAAACATATATTTTCCCACAAGAAACTGGAAGTACTATTTAGTATCAATGAAATTCGCTCACGTTATACAGGGTCGCTGATATGTATGCAAACAGGTGAATATCTCGGTAACCTGTTGTTGGATTTTTTTATGTACTTTGTGATTTCAAAACGTGGCAGATTTGAAAATGTTATAGCCAATGTTGCCACTATTTCAGTTATACCGGATTTTTTATTAACATCCTTATTTTGAATAGAACACCCTGTAATTTATTGGATTTTCAGATTCTCCCTGAAGAGCTAATTCCATCGATCTATCACACTTGGGGTCTAGCAGGAATGAATACATAGGTATAGGGTGTTTAAAATCTAGATTTTTCAACTTTAGTATTTTTTTGTGTCGAAACTATTCATTATCGATCAAAACCGCTCCAATGTTCCCATCTTTACTTCTGATTTACTATCTACTGACATTTAATTGAAACAAATACAGGGTGGTTCAAGATTCAGAATTCTGATCACCCTCCCTCTGTATCTGTTCCAATTAAATAGTCAGTAGATGGTAAATCAAAAGGAACATTGAAGCGGTTTTGATCGATAATGGATAGTTTCTACACAAAAAAATCTTGAAGTTGAAAAACCTAGATTTTAAACACCCTATACCTATGTAATCATTCCCGCTCGACCCCAAGTGTGATGGATCGATGGAATCAGCTCTTCAAGGAGAATCTGGAAATCCAATGAAGTACAGGGTGTTTCATTCAAAATAAGGAAGTTATTAAAAATCCGGAATAACTGAAAAAGTGGCAACAGGAGATATTCACCTGTTTCCATACATATCAGCGACCCTGTATTATTAGGTTGAATAGAATATGATTGAAGGACTCTAGTTGAATGGAATAATGAAAAATAACTCTACAGTAGCTTAATATCTCAGTTTTTCACAAATTCATTTAGTTAAATTTGTTTGAAATATATTTTCTCACAATGAACTCATCAAATAGAATTATTTCAACAAAGTTAAATGCAAATGTCAGTATACCTATGAACGTAAAAAAATTTAAGTGTAATTTCATGCTGCTTCCCCCAAAAAGGCAAACATTTCCAAAAATTTGTTTAGTTGCTATGGTAATGATCCAAAATAAAGGCTTTCAATTGGTCGAAAATGTGAGGTGTGAAATTTCCAATACAATTTTTGTTCAAGTACATATTTATTGATATACAGTGTGACAAATAGTGATCAAGACAACTTTGAAAAATATACACGGTAGTGTGTGAATGAATGAGTATGCATATTGAGAAAGCATTTTTGCAACCCTGTTGTAAGTCAACATGAAAAGCATGTTGGTGAATTTTTTTATCGTTCTCGGCATTCTTGTTCTGTGCGCATGGACGCTTGACATTCACACAATGTTGTCAAGTTAGTCGAGAAACTACCTTATAACTGAAGAAGATTAAATGGAATGAATTTGAAGTCACTTCAGAATCAGCTTGTCATGATGTCAATCGATCAAAGATTGATACACTGTTTTGTTTTTCAGCCTCAGTTGTCAACATGGCACAATAAAAAAAACCACGAATAGTTTGAACAAAATAAATTGTATGATTCACAAGAGAATATTGAAACAGGTACTGAAAATTTGTATTACTGGTACTGGTACTGGTGGGGGACGTTTCCACGTCAGCAACTAGTCCCCAATGGGACCTTTTTGCAAACCCCAAGTGTTTTCAATGACTGATGTGGTTCGCTCAAGAGAGCTGGCTAACATCCTTTTCAGGCACCGCCCATCAGCTCTCTTTTCTCTCTTTTTCAGCTGTGTTTTGTGAGCTAGTAATGTACTCACTACCATATGCGCAGTGGCAGGCCTGCTAACTATCCTCGTTAACCCCCGAGATCGAGGTCTACTTAAGCAAATGGCCCGCTCTCACGCTCAGTTGGTAGTTTTCCACACCCACCTTCATACACCGTCCTACTTCTTCTCTGATGCTCACAACCACATCATCATATCTTTCTGCGTGTTCTGTGTAGGCTTTGTTACTAACTCCATGCGCTACTTTAGGAGCAGCACTGTTAATTGGAACGCAACAGCGAATCGTGCAGGACCATCCCCAGCCGATGCTCCGAAACTTCACAATATTCAATGTTGTCAAGTTACTCGAGAAACTGCCTTATAACTGAAGATGGCTGTGATAAGAATCATCTCATGAAAAGAGATTAAATGGAATGAATTTGAAAAGTCACTTCAGAATCAGCTTGTCATGATGTCAATCGATCAAAGATTGATACACTGTTTTGTTTTTCAGCCTCAGTTGTCAACATGGCACAATAAAAAAAACCACGAATAGTTTGAACAAAATAAATTGTATGGTTCACAAGAGAATATTGAGACAGAACCTGTGAATTTGTATTTGTTTGTATCGATTTTCTTACCTGGTCGTTCCTCCACAGCGGGCGAACTGGCATCGGGCCGATCCACGGTGACTTGTTCGACTTCTTTGGGTTGCGCTGCGGCAATGGCCGCCAGCCTTTCTTGTTCCTCCTTTTCACGTCTCGCTCTCTCCTCGGCCTGGGCTGCTTCTTGCCTCCTCTTGATCTCTCTCAATTCGAACTGACGACACAGACAAAAATCGATGTTAGGGTAAAGTCGTAATTTGTGAATTATGAGGTTTGTTCGTGTTCCAAATCAAACAATCAAATTAAATCCGAAACAAGTCTGAGATAATTTTGAAACCTGATAAACGAAAACGCGTTTCCCGTTCTCTCATCTTCTTTCTCGAAAAAAATATACAGGTCGAGTCAGAATAAAACCGACAAACTTCGTATACGGATTCCTAACCTCATTTTGAGGTGAAAAGTTTCAATCAACGTATGTCCTACAATGCATCCTCTCTGGGATAGTGAGTGTCAACTATACGAAAAAAAGAGCAATTAGTTTCTTCGAAATCCCTGTAGGAAAAAATCAAACTCGATATACTATTTCAGAATTTTCAACGTAATAACTTGGAATTTTCAGTTATGAATTTTATTAACCCGATAGATATATAGTTAGTGATTTAAAATACTTTCAATTACACACGTCAGTAGTATACAGGGTAATCATTTGAATACTTGTAAAATACAAACAAATGATAATAACAAATATAAAACAAGTTGAGACAAACATGAAATGATGAAATGGTTTATGACCTAACCTAACTTAAATGTAATAACATTCCACACGCGTCAGTGTCTAGAGGTTCCTGAGATATTTGCGAAAAACGAATGATATGCCATGAGGTAAAACTGATTGAAATTTGGAATTATACCCATCAACTTGATTTTTCGAATTCTAAATCATTTTCTCAATCCAATGATACCACAGAAGTGACATTTCAAACTCCAATATTGATTTCAATTACATTTTCGATTTTCCACCTGAGTTTGCCATGACCATTCAATTTTATTTCAGTATATGATATCACAATGACTTCAATGTGTTATTATTTCACAAAATCTCATCTTCCATGGAATATCAAATTTCAAGCAGCTCTTTCTAATAGATGAGCATCACTTGAGAGAAAATCAGATGGCTACAAAGCCGTAGAAATCAAGTTTCGCCGTAGAAAAATAATAGTGTATAACTCGCACGGAATTTTGAATTCCCACTCGTATGATTTGCAGCATTCGCCGTTCTTGTGGGAAATTACTATCATTTCGTGCTCATTGAACTATATACTGTTCTTGAGCACGTATCAATATTACCTCTACATTTAGGCATACCTGTGGAGTGTTATGACTTTCATGTTGAGTATTAATTCATGTCATGCACCAATTCGACATTCCATCTATCTATGAAAAAATATGAAAGAAAATGTGGCGACATACGTCACTTGTTGATGAAATTCGATACTGAAAACTCCAAGTAATTGCCATGATTATTCTGGAATAGTATACCAATGAATTTTTTTCCTACACGGGTTCCGAAGAAATTAATATAAATCACATTTTGTTTTGTACTTTTGACACCGTGTATCTCAGAAACGATGCATTTTAGGACATACGTTGATATCATTTTTTCACCTCAAAATTAGGATAGGAATGCGCATACGAAGTTTGTTGGTCTTAATCTGACTCACCCTGTATATGCTGCGTTTTGACTCTCTTGAATCGAGGGCATATTAAGGTTAGGGTTATGTTGATGTTAACATGAAATAATCCTAAAATTCACCTGCACATAAACCTTGTCTACTAAAATATTTCTATACTCATACCTACCAAAAATGATCCCTGAATTTTTATTCCAAGTATAGATTCATTCAAAAACACCATTCTCCAAATTTGCCTTTAGGATTTCCAGCAGATAAAATGTTCAAAAAAGTTTGGTATCCTTTGAACTTGAAGAGGATGATGAGCAGGAGCTCATATGCCAATTGTTCATGATCTTGATAATGAATGTTTTCAATAATTCCATTCTTCATCTCGTTTAAAGGTGTAACTAAGAAAGTTTAAAGGTCAAAAATCTCTGGCATCTTCTTTACGTTGTAAAGTGATTTATCAAAAATTCTCAAAAGAATAGTCAGATATGAAAAATGTTCCTGTCTTTTCGTATCACATGGGATAATCGCAAAACTCTTTAATCGAAAATGTCATTAAAAAATGTATCCGCCCATTACGATCTCAAAGAGAGCAGCTAAAAAATATATACTTGACAATTTTGGGAATTTGTAGCATTTTTCCCATTGTGTGAAATATGAAAGACTAGATCATATGCATTTGTGCCAAAAGTGTAGTACTAAACTCAATCGTATTTTGGAAACTTTTTTGAGAGCACCGGTCTACTTTTTGTCTCAATAGGTTCAAAAACAAATTTTTCTCAAAAACAAAGCAGAATGCGAGGAGAACTCAAGACCCAGAAAGTTCATTAGTTCATCAGTAGCTTTATCAACAAAAAACCCACTAATAATACCAATATATTAGGAACGTACTCTGGATTTTCGTGCAATTAGAAAAAAGTGACGAATGAAAATGTTCACTTTATGAACTTCGTTACCAATCAGCGTGAGCTAAACGTGCTAATTTGTCAGATTGATTGTGGAAAGATATTATTGAGTGGTTAATTGGTTATTGAAAATTAAAATTCAGAAGCCCATAGTAAGTATGCCCAGGAAATTATTGCGACATTGATATTTCGAAATAAAAGGCGATGAATGACCATTATCTGACAACACAAAAATATCATATTAGCCAATACCGTATTATAAACATGATGTGCTGTTCTGGTAGAGGTTATCTCGTTTGGCTGCAAGAGCTTATAACATTTTTTAACGGGCATAACGGACCTTGGACCAAAGGACATTTCTTGTTCAGCATGATTTGATCTAACCAATCCTAGATTTTCACAAAATTTCACCGTGGACAAGATTTCAATGTAAATGGTGTGGGATCCTTTGAGGTCATTTAATTTTTTTGAAAATACATGATAGAATTAGGCTTTGAAATGTTTCTCTATTGGTTTGGTGAATGACAGCTGACACTGAAGGAAAGAAACAAAGAAAGAAAAATCATTATTCATCTTCACGTTGATGATTGTATATTTACTGAATTACACTGTTTCCCATTTATATTAATTAATTGGTATAGACTCATTATTTACATAAAAAAGCGTGAGAAGTGTTGCAAAATTTAATTCAGGTTCCTAACGACACAGTGGAGTAATTGAATGCCAATAATTCATTAACAGTCCACTCGGCCATTATGGTTTGATTCAAGTACTTACACTTAGGAACAAACTACATCATTACGTCATACATGGTTAAATGCTGAAGGCAGTGAGAAAATAATGCATTATCAATGTAATAACCGGTCATACATATCTCCAATATGGTTCTGAAATTTGTGATACTGAAATAATTATTGCCTGTATCTAAATCCAAAGCTTAACAAACACAAGAGTGATATGAGAAAGAATGATTTATGATAGGGGAAGGACAATTAGTAAATACTCACCGAATCACTAATAGGCGACATCAAAGGAAAGGATTTCCTATAATCGTTTTTGAAACCTGCTCCTGCATTTCGTGGCCTTTTTTTGACTATCATTTCCAACAAATTATTAGCATAAACCTCTCTAGATACATTATCCTTGAATTTTTCTGACACTAAACTATTATTTTGTAAGTAACATGCAAACCGTTCAGCCATTATGAAATCATTGCAATGGTACTTATCATCTTTAAAATCTGCGAAATTGTTAGTGAGAAAAGAATTTTCCGAATTCTCGTACATGGAAATACACTTAATGAAATTCGGACGTTTGTGCTTGACTTCTGGAGCCGATCTTTTGTGCAAGAAACTTTGTTGTTTTTTCCTTTTCTCCTCACATTGCGGATAAAATTTAACTACTCCGCGTAATGTAAATCTTCTTCTACATCCGATAATCGGTTTGTAAAATCTATCGACATTTTTCACTATCGAATTCACTAATTCGCGAGTATATGCAGGAGAGAAGTTGCGGAAAGGAGCAGGTTTCACTTTGTCGTAAGCCGGAGGTACTACAGTGAATTCACAGACAGGTGTTTCAGTTTCATGCATTTGACATTCCACAAGTCTACCAGCACCTTGTTCTAACTACAATCACAAAGAAAGCAGAATGAATGTTAGAAAAAACAACACCAACAGTAAGAACAGTATAGAAAAAACAACACCAACAGTAAGAACAGAATAGAAAAATGAAACAATTTCAAGAAAAGTGAAAATTGAATGAATTGAAGTTATAAGCATTCCAGTTCTGTTACAGAAATATATCAGGAACATTTGCAAAACATACTCATTATGTTGTATGTATAAGACAATCTACAGCAAAGGAATAAAAGTATGATACTCTCAATTTTTGTATAATAGGATTTTATTTTGAATATTACTTCAACCAAGAGATTCCTATGAAAATATGCATCTAAAATTTTGATCCAATATTCGTTTATTAACATTGTGTTCCATTTCAAAAGAAGGAGATATTAGAACATATTCATTCGCATTTTCTGTGGAAAATTAATTTGATTGACTCATCAACGTTCTAAAAGTTGTGTTTTTATGCTATAGCCCATTTAGATCAGGTTATCAGGTTATTTCAAGGTCGGTAGAACTGATTATTTGTAAAGGAAGATTGCCTCACGCAGCGATGGAAAGTGGTCATTCATGATGTCATTTCATCGAAAATTTCATTTTGAAGTCATTGGAATCTGTATTCTATAACTGTTTTCAAGAAGATTGACCAATTTAGTCGTGATCTAGAATTGAAAATAGATTTGTCAGAACCCCAGATGAAATTTTGTAGATTTGTCAGAACCCCAGATGAAATTTTGTATATAATTACGTCACAAATTACTACTCTCCCTCACCGCGTTTTCTGATCGAGGCAACCTTCCTCTTCAAATAATCATCAGTTCTACCAACCTTGGATTATGTCACATTATCATCAAAAATTAAAAGAAAATCAACTTCAAGTAACTGAAAACATTTTCTAAAACGTTCCTCAATCAACCTTTGTTTTAGGGACATTACGACACACTGTATAGATCTTCTTTTATCATCGACATGCAGGTTGTATAATGTCCTATAACAACAAACTGAGATAATAAATAAACGTGGCATCTTATAAACAAATATTTCATGTTGACATTTGAAAGTACATTAGATGATTCTTTACTTTGACTTTTCTGGAAGTTGGGTGTTTATTTTTTTCACTAGTTTATTATGAATCATCAATATTTAGTTCCTCTGTGTTAGTCATGAAAGTATTCAATGAGTGTGTTGACCATGGAAAGTAAGTTTTTGATGTTATTTGCACTGATGTTATTTTACATACAAACATAAATGGTTCTTATAGAAGTCAAAAAAATTTGCAATTATTTGTTATTGTTAAAAGAACAAATCACATAAATTCTATTTTCACCTGGGTAGAAGAATAACTTTGTTTTTTACATATTGTGGCATTGAGCACTTTTTCTCTTTCATGACTACATCTGGAAGAATCTCAGATTCACCTACATATAGATTCCATTGAAGGTAATGATTTTTCAATAGTTATCCATTCACTATGAATAAAATTCAACATAACCTCAAATAAGAACATAGAAACCCCTTGAATCAATGGAATGAAATATATTCAAATATTGAGTTCTCTTCCCTTAAATTACAGGAATTGAATCACAACCAAATGAATCAGAACAAAAAAACGTACTCTCTAGTATTTAACAGCTGTACACCAAACTATTTAGCAAACAAAACTGACATAATTCTGTAAAGAAACAAATAAGAAAAGACACTACTTCTGCCATTGTCCTTCTAAATGACAACGAGAGCTATAATATTGTCTGTCCATTGAAAAGAAAAATGAAGAAAAGCTGTAACTCGGAGACATCTACGTGCACTAAGTAAACTAAGTTTTTATGTTCCTGGCAAGTTTATTAATAAAAATCTGTCATGTTGAAACCGGAGGAATAAACATTATCACGGAAGATATTATCAAGTTAGAAAATCATCAACCTATACTTGAATGGAAGGATCTTGTTTAGGTAATGCTGTATCAGCTTGAAACTCGGAGACTCGTCAGTGCTGTGATGAAAAATACATCGCTGTTTACACTTTTTCGACATGCAAGCCAAGCAGAAAGGTAGGGACTGCTTATTTCCTTTTATAATTTAGATAAGTTACTATATAATTAACGAAATTCCGTTATATGCATTGAAAACATTTGTTTTCAGTAAGGTCAACCATGTGAACATTGGCATATCTACTTGAAAATGTTAGGTACCACATACATGGATACTTTTTCAGTTGAAAAACAAAAAACTACATCTGGTGTCTTCTTTATCGAGTTCGTATCGCGTGGTTGATCAAAGATTGGAGAAAAATAGAAGAAGAGAATATCCTCCTAATATTTTCTATTTTGACAGAAATGAATGAGCTCTTGCCATTTTCCCTTCCTCAGCGCCACTTAACAGTGGGGCTTCCGAAACCAAGAGTCCATTCTTGTTCTTGATTAAAGACCAAGACTCAATAAATCTTCCTAAGACAAAAATTTGACTTTCCAGACCAAGACAAAGACCAAAGCTATCTCCCAAGGGTCTTGGTCTTGAAAGAAAAATGATATGGTAGGTTTTTAATTTTTGTTCATTCAAAATCCAAAATTCATTTTTCAAATTCAGTACTGCTGTTTCAAAGTTTTCAACAAATAGGTTTATGTTGTAAGGTCACAGTGGCCCATACCTCCTCCTATTGAAGATAGAAACAAATTTAATAGAAAATTTATTTGGTTTGAATTTGGAATTTGTTGAAATATTTTGTGATAATTAATAATGCATTTTTGTCAGTTCCGACGCTTTTGAACCTTTTTTATGGCCTGTCCCGCGTCGGCCTACTTACTGTTTGGGTGTAATTTGATGTTTATTTAAGGTTTCTCCAAAATTATATTCTTATGGTAAAAGGGGAAATTCATTTCGCTTACTTTATACGCACAAATCGACAATTTTAAAGACTGAGAAATATGAAAAACCTGTTATGTTGGATATTTGAATTGAAAAATTCAAATCTCTAGACGCATTTTGATCCAAGACCAAGACTATCAAGACCAAAACTGGGCCAGTCTCGCCTTGGTATTGAAACATCAAGACCAATACCTAAACCAATACTACATTTATTTTTTGAGACCAATAACAAGACTGATCAGTCTTGGTCTTGGTCTCACGAACCCCTTCTTGACAGGCAGACAGAATTCGATTGACTCAACAGACAATATTGTACCTCCTCGCAATAGGTCGCCTACTAAGTTGTCATTTAGATCGACAATACATCTACCAACAAGCTGAATTCCAATCCAATACCAAAAAAAAAACAGACAAAGAGAAACGACTCACCGTCGTTAGCCTTTCGAGAGCGCTGAACCGCTCCTCTTGCGCCGCCGCCGACTTCTCGAACGCCTCGTGCTTCTTGATCAGATTCTCCACATCGTCGATGGTGTGGCCCAGCTCCTGGCTCATGAGGTAGGGCTCTTGCGCGATCAGCCACGCCTCAGCGACGGCCGCATCTCTCGCGAACTGGTACACTTCGAGGATCAGCTGGAGGTTCTCCCACCTTGTATTGAAAATAACATCAATACCAGATTTGCGACAATAACGATGAATGAATAATAATAATGAAGATTATTCAAAATGTTGACATAATATAAATTAAAAGTATACATATTGATATTACATATAAAAAAATAATAATATACGGCGAGTAAAATATTTATTTTGGGTTGTTGGACACGATATATCCAACAATCAGACATGAAACTCTATACGTCGCTACCTTAGATATCAATTTATAGAATAAGTCTTCTGGAACTCGTAACTTTCGGATTATTTAGATGATGAAATGAAAATAGCAAATATCTAACCTAACATCAGGTGGGCACTTCGAAGGCGCAAATTCATTATCGCATTCAGTGACTTGACTATGACATTGACGTTATAGTCTTCTGCGCAACCATGGCGCAACCAAAATGCACGACTTCAATACTACCTGCAGGGGGATTCTGTTTCACGATCGTCGACTGTCGTACGATACGATGATGACTTGACTTGAAGTCGAATTCATTTCCTATTCTATTTCTCGATCAACTCGCGATCGAATTCGACTTCGGAAATCGTCTAAAGAAACGAGCACCGAGGCCATAGCCCAAAAGCCATCACAAATTTAAGGTTATGGTGGTTAAATTGTTTTTATGAATTTCAATGCTCTCAAACAGGCAAAGAAATTTGGTCTAATTCGTCGACGACAAGAACTAAAAAACAGAAGTAGGTACCTAATCCTTTTTCTTTACCCGAAAAAAGATTTATTGAGCTATTTAGATTGAAGAAGAGGTTGGTTCTTCTTATGATACAATCATTGAGCCCCCACTCAGTGAATAAGTCAAGGTATGAAAGGAATTACTACAGAATCTCAAATATTTTGTGCATTAGGTTTTATACAACTGGATGATACCAAAGATGCTACCTTATGCTATTTCTCAGGAGTTCACTCGCCAAGTCCCAATGAATTTACTTGGCTTTGCCTGATTCACAGTTTTTTATTGATTTCACGACCATCGGACTCTGAAAATCATCCTGTGGCCGTGGCCCTGTGCTGTTCTAAAAATGTTATCAACATTTCCCAGTGGGCATCTCTGAGTTTGAAGGACATCGAAAATGAATTATATATTTTATTCATGAAGTAATAAGTCGATTACACACTTTCAAAGCTGTGCTTTCACATAAACAAGTTGATCTAACCTCAAATAGGCAAGAACACAAATGCTCGAATTGGATTCAAATGAGCATATAATTGGAATATATTAGTAACATAACATGAATGCAATTATTTTTTGATAAAATATGCTGTAATATTTCAAAAGACACCATTTGAATATCCTACAATTTCATGGATCGTTCTAACATAGCTTTCGGCGACGCCAAAACTGACGTGATAATCCCTTTTCCTGTGGTGCGAGCTGTTTTATTTTAAGGAAATATTAAGTAAATATTTCTCAATTTAGAATCGATCTTATATTGTAAACTGGTGTGATAATTTGATATTCATTGATGAAGTAAATTATCATTTATATCGTATGCACAGGTCGCGTAATTGAATTGAAACAACCTCACTTTACTGTGAAACATTGAAACACAACCTCACTTTTTTATTTGTTTATAGAGGAATCGAAGGATTGAAATAGTTTTTCACAATATTTTGGCATAGGAATCGTGTTTTATGCGCTATTCATTAATTCAAGCATGCCTTCTCATTGTGCTGTTGTGCAATATAAAAAAAATGCAGCGAGAAGATTATTCAGGTAAATATAGTAATCTCACATAGTTTTCATGAAATTTTGTCATTTCTTATTGAAATTCCTTCTGCCTTGTTATGCAATAGAAGGTAATACTGCTTATAGATTGAAAATGTCTACAACACACACGATCATATTTCATCAGCATGTCAGACCAGTCCTCTCGTTTGATTGCATGAATCCAATCTTCTTTTAGAAATTTCACGAGTATTTCTATAAGCTCCTATTACAGAAGGAATTCCGATGAGAAATCAGAGAAATTACCAAAGGACCCCGCACTTTTTCTATATAAAAATGGCGTTCCGTCGAATTTTCCCAATTTTTGGTAAATGATAGTACTCGACATACTGATTGAATATGCCAAGTCCCAACTCAATCCTATGACTAGTTTACGAGATACAGGGTGTTGAAGTTGAAGAATACCTAATTTTTCTCGGCCTATATCTCTAAGATAGGACAAATGAATTCCAATTTTTCGGGAGCACGTAATAGTTATGCCCTTAGGCGCAAGAACTATATAGGTATTCGACCAAAACTGATTTTTATTACAGGGTGATTCTCATTTCAAATAATGTGTTTTTTTGAATATCTGAATATCAATGCTACAAATTGATAACAATTACAAAATGAGATTTATAGCCAAGTATGCTCTTCTTACATCAATTGAATTCGTAAAATATAATAATTATACATGGTGTTTCATTAATGCTGTTGATTGCATAATTGGTCTATCCTAAAGTTCATTGGGCCACCTCGTATTATCGGGTTGATTCCAGACATTCAAAATATTTTTGAAGGATGTATCCCAATGAGTTCCATGATATACAGAGTGATTCATCGATTGAAAAAATTGACAACCACGAAAAAATATTCAAAAACCACTATTTTTTTCATCACCCTCTAATTCGAAATTATTACCGTCGATGTAAGATTTTTTTCCACCAATATACTCAGTATGGATATTTCAATCAAATTGGGAATTTTCAGACCCATGCTATGACTAGTTTTTTTTATACATCGAATAATGTGAAAATAATTATGGAAAAGTAATTACATAATAACACGAAAAATTGCTCCGAATCGCAAAACTAGTAGTCACTAGTCAACTATGTCAAAAAATGTGATTTGTTCGTAAACAAAATCTAGTGGTCTTATTATAGGTCCGCTAGCAAAACATCTCGAAAATGTTTTTCAGAAAACATCAAACAAATCACAATATGCCCCCGAAAAAATCTCATCAACGACACAACTCATCAACGATCCCACTCATATAAACGTGCTAAAACTCATGAGCGTTCCAAGTCGACAGCGGTTTTTCCCAACTCAATCCTATGACTATACTTTTCGAAAAAAATATGAAACTAAACTTCCGCAAACGCCTAGTGAGAGGTGCGCGTTAATATATTTTGCAACTCTCCTTTATCCAACCAACTTCCAATCTTTTGATCATACTGTATATTGTTAGAATCGAAGTTAGTATATGCACATCGGAAAGACACTAAAGTTGGAGTTTTGGTTATGTAGATATTCGTTACCGGGTTCAGTATAGACTTGAAAGAAAAATGGAATACAGGAACATCAGTAGGTACCGAGGAATCATCATTTATCCAACACATCAAAAATATAGTAAAATAATAATGAAACAATCTCGAAGCCTCTTTCATCCACTCAATATCAATTCAGAATTGCAATCATAGATTTTGAAAAAATACATGAACCAACTCGTTTTCCAACAACATCTATTTGTTGGAAGAAATAGTGGCATTAGGTAATGTATATCGTAAGATATACATACCGTAATAGATCGATAGACATCCTCAAATAACTATAAAATTATATTTTAGGGTAAGTTCTAGTCCCAATTCAAGTTGACAACTGATATTTTCGGAATCGGCGGGGTCGAATTAGTCTAGAAACTTGGGTTGTCACGAATTAATAAGTATGTTTTACTTCGTAGAAGTCGAATTTGGATTATCGCAACCAGATAGAATATTTTTCAGTAGGCTTAGAAAACAAAATCATGATATCAATAAATGTGTCTGTCATCCAGCAACTTTCGGGTTGTCAGTATCTTAAAATATCATATCAGCGTATATCTTTATTCTGAGTGTTTTTTAAGTCGTTTTCAGTAATTGTTTAGTGAATTTAGTGCGCATTATGGCATTTGCAAATAGGGTAAGATGTTATGTATGCGAAGGGAATTTCATTCCTAGACTCACAATTCGTATAAATCGTGAAGATAATGTTGATTTTCTGCAAATTGCAACATTTAGAAGACAAGCTGCTGGAAATCCTCCAATTGACATTTTTGATGATACCAGAGTTTGTTTCAATTGTCATAACAGTGTAATAATTGATATCAATGAGATGGAAAATAACCCAAACTGTCTTCGCCTAAATGTATTGAGTCCAGTAATGAGCCGTGCCTGCATAATCTGTAATGCTCGTCAACATGTTCAGAGAATAACTCTTGCATGTAGGGTGAACATTTTTGTTGTAACGAATATTTATGTTCCGGACTTTCTGAGAATTTGTGGTCATCATCTTGACCCTCATGGATTTCTCTTGAATAATTTGCATGGAGGTTTGAATTTTATCAACAAACCCTATTTGATATCAAATATGCTTCAATTTCTACAGTGTATGAGAACAGTTGCCAATGAAAATAGACGTATTAGAAACTGGGATGATATTGATAGTTTTACAGAAGAAGAGTTCAAAGCTCTGACGTCGATTTCAAAAGAAGATTTTCAAGGACTTTATGGATTTTGTGATACAATCGAGCAAGGGGGAAATAGAAGGCATATCAAAAAGAAACATTTACTGACATTTCTAATCAAAATGAAACATGGAGTTTCAGATGAGTTTTTGAAAATCTTGTTTCATTTTTCTTCAAGACAAACAACTAGCTTGATAATATCAAATGTGAGGATATCTCTAATGCAAAGATTTGTAACTAATAATATTGGTTTCGACTCTATTACAAGAGACGATTATATTAATAGACACGTGTCTGTATACACCAATCAGCTATACAACCCTTCTCCCAATATCCCAAAAGCAATTGTGTATATAGACTGTACATATAACAAAATAGAAAAAAGTAGTAATTTCCGGATATTGAGACAATCCTACTGCTTCCATAAAAATGAGCACCTGGTTAAGCCTGAAATTATGGTCGCTCCTGATGGCTACATCTTGGCAATTAATGGTCCATACTTTTCTGATGCTAGAAATAATGATGCCACCATTCTGCAGCATGAGCTACAGAATGATATAAATAGAATGAGGACATGGTTTCAAGAAGGCGATGTAGTGATAGTCGATAGGGGTTATAGGGACTCTATTGGTCTTTTACAGGATCTTGGTCTCCATTACCATATGCCACCATTTCTACCACCAAACCAAAGACAACTCACAACAATCGAAACTAATAGGGCACGCTTAATTACTAGCACCAGATGGATTGTAGAGGCTAGAAATGGGCATTTCAAATCGATTTTCAAATTTTTCCGAGGAGCGATATCAATAACACATGTTGCAAAATTACGCGAATTCTATTTGATTGCTGGCGCCCTAATAAACAAATACCATCCTCCAATAAGGATGCCGGGCACATTGGAATTAGCTACACAAATGTTGCATGATATCGAAGAAGTCAACATTGTTCAGGCCCGAGTTGAGGCTGAAAACCTCCGTACAAGAAATGGTCGATGGTTTCGTTTGAACCATAGACATGTACCGACGTTTCCTCGACTTGACTTAGAATATTTGAAAACACTCACAGGGTCATATCACATTCACTTAGCTGCCTCCAACATACAAGACACGATACAAAGAGATGGAGGGGAACAAAATACACTCGATATTGACGAACTCATTGAGGAACCCAATTTTTTAAGATTTCGAGTATTTTCTCGGTTCAGAAATGCCACTTAACATATGCTGTGGTTAGTATTCAGAGAAATCGATGATAATAATTTACAAGATCCGCCCATTTTAGGGTACTACTGTACTTGTAGGTCCGGTGCTAGAACATTAGGGACGTGTGCACACGTAGCCAGTGTGGTATGGTTCCTTGGATACGCAAGAAACCAAGGAAATATTACCTTTCCATCTGATCGTCTTTTGAATTGTATCGACGATGCTGCAAATCGATTGAATCCTGAAAATATGAACATCGGTCCGGAACTGATTTGAATCTGGCGATTAGTTGATTTCTGTGTTCCTTGTGAAACATAATTATAGTAGTAGTAGTAGTATATGTCCTTCGTTGGTAGGTATGTACATACCAACCAACCATCGATCCCTAATGAGGTCCTTTAGCCCATAGTGTTCTGAACATGTATCTATATTGTATGTAGGCACGCAACAGTGAATCGTGCAGGACTATCCCCAGCCGATGCTCCGAAACTTCACAATATTTAATTCGTATATTAATATTCGAAAAATTCCTTGCGCTGTCTGGGAATCGAACCCACGACCCCGCAGTCCTGACTCGGGTGCTCGTCCACTGCGCCAATCCTGCCTACACACAATCATATTATAGGTATTGGAACTTTCACTTTCTAACGTGGACTAGGCCTACAGGGGATACCACAATAAAAAAAACGCGCCTGAAACTCTACCTCTCAGGTGGTGGGGAAACGAGTTGGTTTGTCTATTTTTTCAAAATCTGTGATTGAAATTCTTAATTGACATTTTTCTTTCAGGCCTATACTGAACCCGGTAACGAATATCTACATAACCAAAACTCCAACTTTAGTGTCTTTGCGATGTGCATATACTAACTTCGATTCTAACAATATACAGTATGGTCAAAAGATTGGAAGTTGGTTGGATATAGGAGAGTTGCAAAATATATTAACGCGCACCTCTTACTAGGCGTTTGCGGAAGTTTAGTTTCATACTTTTTTCGAAAAGTAGTCATAGGATTGAGTTGGGAAAAACCGCTGTCGACTTCGAACGCTCATGAGTTTTAGCACGTTTATGAGTGGGATCGTTGATGAGTTGAAAGTTGATGAAAGGGGTGCGTAGAATAGTTGTGTCGTTGATGAGATTTTTTCGGGGGCATATTGTGATTTGTTTGATGTTTTCTGAAAAACATTTTCGAGATGTTTTGCTAGCGGACCTATAATAAGACCACTAGATTTTGTTTACGAACAAATCACATTTTTTGACATAGTTGACTAGTGACTACTAGTTTTGCGATTCGGAGCAATTTTTCGTGTTATTATGTAATTACTTTTCCATAATTATTTTCACATTATTCGATGTATAAAAAAAACTAGTCATAGCATGGGTCTGAAAATTCCCAATTTGATTGAAATATCCATACTGAGTATATTGGTGGAAAAAAATCTTACATCGACGGTAATAATTTCGAATTAGAGGGTGATGAAAAAAATAGTGGTTTTTGAATATTTTTTCGTGGTTGTCAATTTTTTCAATCGATGAATCACTCTGTATATCATGGAACTCATTGGGATACATCCTTCAAAAATATTTTGAATGTCTGGAATCAACCCGATAATACGAGGTGGCCCAATGAACTTTAGGATAGACCAATTATGCAATCAACAGCATTAATGAAACACCATGTATAATTATTATATTTTACGAATTCAATTGATGTAAGAAGAGCATACTTGGCTATAAATCTCATTTTGTAATTGTTATCAATTTGTAGCATTGATATTCAGATATTCAAAAAAACACATTATTTGAAATGAGAATCACCCTGTAATAAAAATCAGTTTTGGTCGAATACCTATATAGTTCTTGCGCCTAAGGGCATAACTATTACGTGCTCCCGAAAAATTGGAATTCATTTGTCCTATCTTAGAGATATAGGCCGAGAAAAATTAGGTATTCTTCAACTTCAACACCCTGTATCTCGTAAACTAGTCATAGGATTGAGTTGGGACTTGGCATATTCAATCAGTATGTCGAGTACTATCATTTACCAAAAATTGGGGAAATTCGACGGAACGCCATTTTTATATAGAAAAAGTGCGGGGTCCTTTCAAAAATGAAAACCATATATTAGTGACTATAGTAGGTACTTACTTTTAAATCATAATGTACCAACCGGATTCCTTCGTCTTTCGCTCCAGTTTTTGAGCATTTTACAATAGCACAATGTGATGGCATGAGCGAATTGAGCAATAGCCGAAAAATACGATTCGTATGCCAAAATAATTGTGAAAAACTATTCCCATCACTTGTAAACAAATTAGAAGTGAGGTTGTCTTTCAATGTTGTGCCTCCAGGGTCGGTCATCTGACAGTTCTTGCACGCAACCCATTATGCTCACCTCTCCTCCCACCGCTGCAGCACACCGTTCCGGTGTCCCGTCAGCCCCACCAGCTTCTCCTTGATCTCCTCGCTGGCGTAGTGGCCCCTGCTCAGCAGCTCCTTGCCCAAGGCCACGCAGGCAGCGAAGTCGTCTTCGCGCGCCTCCACCTCCGCCTTCAGCGTCTGGTGGTCGTTCATGAGCAGCTCGACGCCGCTGACGTCGCGCGGCCGTTCGCCCGTGTTCATCTGGCGCAGCCATTCGGCCGTCCATTGGGTGAGCGTGCGCACGAGGATGAAGAAGCGGAAGAGGTCACCGGTGTCGGCCAGTTTACTCTGGCGCTGGTCGCAAGCCACCTGAGAGAGATAGAGAGAGGGGATTATACGTCTGGTCGTCGTTGTTCAAGTGCCTGTTATCAGTTTCCTTTATTTGAAAATGCATTATTATTTGGATCGTGTGTGCCAAAGACAGACGTAACCAGTAGAACAGTTGTCATATTTATGGTGCTTTGTTAAATAAATAGAATCGAATATCTAGAAGAAAATAAACTGCTATTCATCAAACATCTTGAATAGAGTCCACTCAAAACACTGAACATAAATGGGTGTTTGTCCTTCGGGTCGGATTTTCATTTAAGATAGTTTCTTGAGACGTGTTCATCTGGCGCAGCCATTCGGCAGTCCATTCGATGAGCGTGCGCACGAGGATGAAGAAGCGGAAGAGGTCGCCGGTGTCGGCCAGTTTGCTCTGGCGCTGGTCGCACGCCAACTGACAGAGAGAGAGAGAGAGAGAGAGAGAGAGAGAGAGAGAAAGAGGGGATATACGTCTGGTCGTCGTTGTTGAAGTGCCTGTTATCAGTTTCCTTCATTTGAAAACGCACTATCGTTTGGATCGTGTATGCCAGAGACAGAAGTAACCAGGAGAACAGTTGTCACATTTGAATAAATTTGAAAACTTATATTTTACCAAGTTAAAAACGGTTCGTTTTACATTTCCATGGTGGTACACTATACATTTTTTCAATTTGTGTGTGTACCAATAGTTTGCTCACAGAACAGCTAGTGTTTTTACAATTTTACATATAAAATACAAAGAATTTCTCAAGTTCTTAGTCTAAAAAGAATTTAAAAAAATACTTAAAAATATGTTTAAAAACGAGATTTGGTATTCAAGCCTATCATGCCTAGTCTTAGAGAAATGAAGAAAAAGTTGACTTTCATAGTGAATTACAAAGGTATGATGACCAAATGACCAAATGTGCAAAGTGGTATGGAACTTGTGGTGTGTTTTCAATGCCTTAGCATACAGAATATGCCATTTGTTAATTATATGTTCTATTATATATTATATGTTATATTATTCAAGACTATCCGTTGGTGATTCTTTTTTTTTTACATTTTTATATGGTTTACCTTTGTTTTCTAATGGTAACAGGTTCAATAGTTTTGGACCAATATAGGGGATATGTTTTTAGTTGGCCGAGAATCTATTAGTTGGTATTGCCACATTTTTATTCTGTGTTGCTCTAGTGGTATTGTGTGAAATTATTTTTTTATATTGAGTATTTTTCAACATAAATCTGATAGTTGCTTTTACGAATAACTGCTTTATTGCCAGGGCTTCCGCTTCATAGAATAGTTGTTCTGAAGGAAATGTTCTTTTTTTCCCAAGCATGGTTTTTAATAGATATTTTTGAGATATACATAGCGGTGACAGTATTGTTGGACATGCGGCTCCCGAAATAATAATTCCATAGTTTAGAATAGACTCTGCCAATGCTAAATAAATTACTTTGAGTTTTCAAAGGAAAAATTTCTTTCAGTTGATAAAATTTACATATGAGTTTTGTTATCTTGTTTGATGTATAATTAACATGAACCTCCCACTTGAGGTTCTCATCTATGTATATACCAATGTATATTTAATGCTTTCCTGTCTTTTTATTAATGAATTGCAATTACAGTAATCATCAAACTTTTTTCCGACACCACTAAAGTATTTATTAATCTCCTTCGCTTTTTCCATATCATCTTTTAGCTCAACTCCTAATTCATTTAGAATGTATCTTATTTGAGGTGTTTTTCGGTTTGTGGCTTGCTTTATTACATCCCATCTTTTTGATAGATCATCTTTGTGGTTATTGAACAGTTCTTTATAGTAGTTGTTTTTTGTTTCCTTATGTAATTTATTCAGAGAATTTCTATATACCTCGTATGCATCAAGTGCTTTCCTATTTCTCAAATTTACGGTGCATTCTTTTGTTACCCTATCACGTATTCTGATTGATGTTATCAATCCCTGTATAATCCATGGCTTAAGACGTTTATATTTATTTTTTACAAAACATTTACTTGAGGATTCAGCAATATAAAATTTGAGTTTATTGACAAAATTGTTAGCGCAATAGAATCGAATATCTAGAAAAAACTGTAAATCCAATTTCAAAATAAACTGCTATTCATCAAACATCTTGAATACAGTCCACTTAAAACACTGAAAATAAAATGGCGTTGGTCCTTCGAGCCGGATTTTCATTTTAGATTGAAAGTTTCTTGAGACGTGTTCATCTGGCGCAGCTATTCGGTCGTCCATTGGGTGATCGTGGACACGAGGATGAAGACCCCAAGGAAATAACAGATAGCCCTAATATCAGTATATTTAAGAAGAAAATAAAGTTCTTAAACTTGCATACCCAACGAATTATCGGCATAAAGCTCATCTTGATTTCTCTCAGTATCACTGTTAGATTTGAAGTTACATTTGTGTTATAGAATTCTTAAGTGAATTTTGAATAGTATGATTACTTTGTTGTATTGTTTAGAATATCAATATATATTGTATTGTTTAGCTAGTTTTCCGAGACCAGCATGTCAGTGCTGCTTTGGATAACCATTTTTTTTTTGGTGCTGTTATTTCAAATTCTAAAATTGTAATAGTAACCATTGTCGGAATATTCGAATAAAGTTTTTTTAAACAGAATATTACCTGCAGTGCAGCCCAAGCGGCCACCACTTCTTGCTCCCTGTTCGTGATCTCCTTGGCCCTGTCGCCCGCATAGCTGGCCTGCAGCTTGGCGGACTCCTCCTGGATCTGCTGCACCTGGTACTGCAGCGTCTGCAGGTCCTGCAGGAAGTTCTGGTGCTTGCGCTGCAGCGCGTTCACCGAGCCCGCGTCCCTGCCCAGCTCGTCGGACATCGACACCTGCCGCTCCACTATCCTGCTCAGGATGTCCTTGCAGTCGTGGAAGAACTTGTGCAGCTCCCTGGATGAAATTTTGAAACATTTTTTGAAGAAACATACATATGTTTATGGAGGGACAACGTGCAAAATAGATAAATAAACAAATCGAATATCCAATAAAATGGAAGATAATCAGTTAAATCGAAATCAATCAAATTGTAAGGAATATATTCAAATTGATAAATATATTTCCTCAGTTAACTCTTGAATTTTGTGACGAGATTGATAGATTTTAATCTGTTGGGTAGACTATCATAGATATTTATAGGACAAAACTATAATGATTCATCCCAAATTGGGTTTTTATTTTGAAAGTTTCAAAAGATCACTTTGTCTGGTGTGATGCTCATGAGTATCACAATTGACATTCAAAGTAAGATTCGAGTGTTTTCGTATTTTTTGTGAAATGGGTGAAAAGAGAGTCAATATCTAGACATCTTGATTTGTATAGTCTAGATCTTGATTCCAGAAATGGAAGCTAATGAATACATTTTATGTATGCTTTTGCCCTTCAAGTCCTTTGTGGTTTGTACGAATTCTCCAAATCAAGTAGGTCTGCGGCTGATATATCTTGAAATGCTCATATCGAGATTTTTTTTGTGGCCTGCTTATAGAGAACCCAGGAAACAAAAGAGACAATACTGAAGAAACCATCGCTCATATTTGAATCACGAAGCCTCCAGCGATCAATTTGCCATTTTTTCTGCAACAGGGCCACGTCTCTCATACGAGACACAACGAAACCAAAAAATATAACTGAAAACTACAAAAAAACACGTAAGTATCAAACAAACCATTATTTCAACATAAAATACTCCCAAATAATAGGAAACTGTGGTTTGGCCCCCATAACCAATCCCCAATCACGGCTTGGCACGCGATGTGATAAGGATGGATCATCTTGTAATCAAGGTTTCTATCACTTCTGTTACTGTAGAAAAATATAAAGCCTGTACTGTACCTGGAGGCGGCCAGCATCTGCGTGCGCGTCTCGATGAGCTCGAGCAGGTCCTGCCACGCCTCGTTCAAGCCGTCCTTCCATTCGGCGATCAGCGCGGAATCGGAATGCCCAGCGGCGATCAGGCTGTCGGCGACGTCATTGACGGCGGCGACTCTTTCGCTGCCCACTGCCTCGGTGTCGTGCGCGAACTCCTTGAAGCAGAGATCGGTTTGAAACGGCGAGTTATAGAGGATTTGTTTTGAAGGGAACATGTCGATATTGTAACCATACCTAGAGTTCCTAAATGTACTTGACACTACCGTTCTGACGATTTTTGTATATTAGAGTACGGACACTAGACAAGCAGTGACAATCAAACATAACCACAAACGATTTTGAAGCAAATCATATGTTTTGCCAGACAAGGACAAGAATATGTTTTTCGCTTCGATAAAGGATCCTCGCCTCTTCCTTCCTTCACAAGTCCTGGGAAGAGTACATCCATATATCTTTCTCTGTCTTTGATTTTTGTATGAGAGTGCGTAGCGTCTCCTGGAGTGGGTAAAGGGGTAAGATAAATTGATTAGAAAATTATTTCTTGTCGAACTATTGAATGATGAGGCTGAAGGACCTCAATGGAGGTCGATATCAAGTTGGTATGTACTTATATATCAACGAAATACATATACTATTTCTATGAAATACGTTTACTATATGTTGGTAAACCGGGTGTCCCATTTTAATCTTCATTTGGAAATTTCTCGAAATGTATGCATATGACAAAAAAAATTGCAGAATAAAAGTTGTATGGTTTGGAGGGGGCCGTCTGGTTATAAAACAAGTTTCACCCCCTGACCCCCAGGGGAGTGGGAAATTGAGGTAACATTGAAATCTTTAATGGAAACCCCTATTTTTTATTGCTGATTCTGGAAGAGCATTAAAAATTATGAAGCTTTTATTAAGGAACTTCTTTTTCATTTTCACAAGATGGCGCTGCGATCTTGGAAAACAATATTTTACTATTTAGTTTGTAGTTGGCCACCCAGATCACCCGACTGGACTTCCCCAGACTTCTTTCTGTGGGGTTACATCAAAAACATTGTGTTTCGCGAACCCCCAACCACACGCGAGAATATGAAAGATAACGCCTGGTATGTTGGAAGCGACAATGCGGAATTTTGAAAAACGAGTGAACTTGTGTATTCAAGAAAATGGAGGTCATTTCAAACACTTGATAAAGTAGTCAATCTCACTTAAAACCAGCTTTAGTCTGACCTAAATGATACCTCAATTGCTGAAACATGCCTATTTTTCTCTTTTCTATGTGGAGGTGTCAAGGTAAGTAAGTTCGTTTAGCGTTATTTTGTCGTGTGAATATCACCCCAATGGCGTTTGTCTGGGAAAATATCATACCCTACACTCTTCCTCGTCTTCAGGGGGTTGAAATGTGTAAATAGTGAAATATTGTTTTTTACGATCGCAGCGCCATCTTGTGAAAATAAAAAAGAAGTTCCCGAATGAAAGCTTCATAGTTTTTAATGCTCTTCCAGAATCTGCTATAAAAAATAGGGGTTTCCATTAAAGATTTCAATGTTACCTCCATTTCTTACTCCCCTGGGGGTCAGGGGGTGAAACTTGTTTTATAACCAGACGTCCCCCTCCAAACCATACAACTTTTATTCGTCAATTTTTTTTGTCAGATGCATACATTTCGAAAAATTTCCAAATAAAGATTAAAATGGGACACCCGGTATATAGGTATATACGTTCAGTTGAATATTTTTTTATCACAAAAGTTCAGAATGGGGTAAGAACTGATAAATTTCAACCACTGAAACAAACAAACAAATGATATGGCAACAATAACAGCTGATTTCAGTTACAGTAAATAATAAAGGTTCTCCAAGACATACGGAAGTAGGTATAAATGGACTTCAGCGCTCGACTCGATACCTAACATAAATGGTGCACTCATTAAGCTTTCTTGTTCTGTCCTCTGATAATATCTTGGTACCCAAGGAGTGGTTCAAAATCCACTAGGAACTTTGAAGAAGCGATACAGGAACAATATATTCAATTCTTTGATATAGATACATCTAGTACATCAGAGTTCCACAAAATTATTACTGGAGTTAGTATACGAAGATGATCTAAAGAATTCTTGGTTGAACAGGAATGTGAAATCTGTTTGAGTCAGTCAATTCAGGAAGTTGCTGCTGTTTCATCATCAGATGATCTACCATGATCTCCATGGTGGCTATTGTGATCTCTGCTCCATCATTCCATCACAAGCAATAACCAGAGAAATGAATTTCATAACCTGCAAGCTTTTTGTTTCTTCTTGGTTCTAAACTGGAATAAGAATATTTACTCTCAATAGGATCCCTATTCTTCAACATCAAATCTTCCGTTCTGAAGTGTACCTGATAAAAATGCGTTGAAAAATATTCTATATCCTTCCAATAAATTATTATTCTGTTTCCATTTTTGTAGAATCACGTTATCCCATAAAAATTCGAATAGAGTGAATTGATTTTCCGTGTTCTCACAGTTGGAAACTGCACAAACTAGCATCTTTCTCCTATCTGTCTCAATTTGTCAAACCTTTAAAATTTATGTCATGTACGTCCGTGTACTGTCAGTTCCCGCTTTTTCCATCAATTTATTTGTGGTTATGTCTGATTGTCAGTGCTTGTCATAGTGTCCGTACTCTGATATACAAAAAACGTCAAAGCAGCGCAGTGTCAAGTACATTGAGGAACTCTAGTAACTACTAGATAACGATTACAAAATCCCTACCTTGAAGCGCTCCCACAGCAGCGTCACGTGATCATAGTCCTGGCCGAGCTCGTGCGACGACGCGACCACTTCCCGGTCGGCTATCCACTGCTCCAAGTCGCCCACGTCCCTGCTCAGCAGGAACAGCTGCAGCGCCTCGTCCAGCTTCGCTCTTCGCTCCCCTGCCAGGTCCTTCAGGCCGGCGTACAGCTTGTCGAGCTGCGACTGCTTGACAGCCACCTGCTCGGCCAGCGGGTGGCCTTCGGCGGCCAGAGCGCGGACGGTCTCGCCCAGCGCCCGTATCGTGTCGGCGTAGGCTTCGACAGCCGCCTCGAGGCTCTCATGTTTCTTCATGCAGTTGCGCGCCGACGTTTCATCCTTCGAAATCGAAATCAAAATATACTTTTTCTACAATCATCGAAAAATGACAAGGTTAACATGAACCTCCCAACATACAGAGTGATCCACGGTGGATGGTCTGTTAGAAGTATCTGGAGAACGAAAAGACAGAACATTCTGAAAATAGGGATTCTTTGATAATTGAACATTCTCTATCCGTCTAAAATATTTTCATCGATTCAGTGTTGCCACATCTATCAGAAACAACTAGCAACTTTGTTATTTCAAATGGAACACTCTGTATTTTATTGCATTTTTAGATTCTTTCTAAAGAGCTGAGATTTCATCGATGTATCACACTTGGGGTCTAGCAGGAATGATTACAGAGATATAGAGTGTTCAAAATCGAGATTTCTCAATTTCAAGATTTTTTTGTGTCGAAACTATTCATTATCGGTCAAAACGGCTTACATGTCCCTATCTTAACATTTGATTGACTATCTACTGGAATTTGATTGGAAAAAATACAGGGTGCTTCAAGACTCAGAATTCTGATCACCCTGTATCTGTTCTAATTGAATGTCAATAGATAGTGAATCGAAAGTTAAGATAGGGACATGTAAGCCGTTTTGATCAATAATGAATAGTTTCGACACAAAAAAATCCTGAAATTGAAAAATCTCGATTTTGAACTTCCTATATCTCTGTAATCATTCCTGCTAGACCCAAAGTGTGATACATTGATCAAATCAACTTTTCAAGAAGAATCTAAAAATTCAATAAAATACATGGTGCTCTATTTAAAATAACGAAGTTGCTAGTTGTTTCTGGTAGAAGTGGCAACATTGTATCGATGAGAATATTTTAGACGGATATAGAATGTTCAATTATCAAACCATCCCAATTTTCAGAATGTTCTGTCTTTTCGTTCTCCAGATACTTCTAATAGGCCATCCACCGTGGATCAGCCTGTATAATATATACATAATAACAAATTGCAAACTGACACTTCCCGCATTGTATGTAAACTATATGACATTTTTGGATTTAAAATGTATGGTCCTCAATGGCGCAAACATCCAAGAAACCATTTCTGAATGTTCAACAATTTTTTGTTGAATTTTTTGAATGACCAAAATATATTCAGAATAACGAGGATAGAGGGGGTGACACATTTGATTGGCACACCCTGTACATATCCGTACGCCAAATGCCATTTTAGTTATCTGAGTAGAAATATTCGAATTGACAGGCTTCATCGAATTATGGAAAAAAATATCGAATCAACTGTATAATAAGACAAAACACATTTTCTTTGAAAGATCACTTTTAATCAATACTCTAAATATTTCCTATTATATCATCAACAAAAAGCTTAAATCAAATTTTATATTAATTAGGAATTCCCAAATTCATGGTCATCACACTAGACAATTTATAGCTGGAGAGCTCGTGAACCTTATATATAACGGTTTGTCTGTAAGGCTAGAAATTTGTATAGTGATGGATCAAAGGCTGTCAAGTACGATAATCATGACCTGGCAGGCCTCACCCTTGCACGTCACGATCCCCCATATGTTTCAGAGTGTGAAAATAATTTAAAAAATAAACTTGGCGCTGTAAGCTGGTAATTTTATTATGATTCAATTTAGGTATTGCAGAATATAGAAAAAAACTGACAGGCGATTCTGATGAGCAGGAGTAAGTGCCAGGCGAGTCCAAAAGTGCGCAAATGAGGACTGAAAATAAACTTCGTTCTGTAAGATTTAAATTCACACACATGTTTAACTAAGGTATTTAGGGCATACATGTGCAATGACAGGCGATTGCTGCCAGCAGAAGAACTTGACAGACAAGGAATAAGGTGCTATACGAGTATACGTTTCAGAGCGATAGATAGAAGATAAAAATGAAAATTTTGGAAAAAACATGTTCCATCCACTAATGTAACTTATTAATCTATGACAATTTCTGAAATTCAATATTCTTCATCATCCGACTCTTCACTATATTCTTTATCTGAAAATAAAACATACCTATCTGTTGAACTCAGATATGCATTGATAATATTACCAATTTATTTGTTATCTGAAGTGCTCTCCTTATCAGGTGCATGGTTTTCTCCAGTTTCATTGGATTGTTCTGAAATGATTTCGTAAATAGAGGAAGGAACTGTATCTCCCTCAAACCAATTGAAATCGACCAAATTCCAATCATTCTCTTCAGGACTCAGAACCGTAGGAACCTTGCCATATACTTGTAATATATTGGGTTCTTGATAGTTGTTGTTGGAGTTCTCGCTGACATGGAGGAACACTGGATGAATCATAACCGATAATTTTTTTGAATACATTAGCATTACTCGTATTATAAGTTGCAATAAACTTCTCATAACGCGCTTCATTTACTTTGTCACATTCGATACCGAACATTTGACCCTTCTCTTTTTCTCCTGATGATAATTGAGCATTTCCTAATGCGGTAAAAGCCTTCTGATATTGAATATTTGTTCTCAATAACTCATAGGGTTTTCTTTTTCCCCTTCTGAAAAATGATGGGATGAAATCGCAACCTGTAAATGCATAAAAACCTGGTGAGCCTTGGCATAGCCAGGGACCCAACTTTGTATACAATCCAGAAATATTTACATACTTTTTATTCATAAAAGCTCCATCCTCCATCTCAATTTGCAAATCGTTTTTGCGAAGATGATCCATGTTGCCAAGCATCACAATTAAAATATCTGTATCAGAAGATTTTATCAGAATGTTGGATACATTGTCAGCGTCATCTATGTGGCATAATAATATATGGTATATTATTTTCCTATCAGCTTCTTCATGATTCTGGCAAGATAAATTATCGGTAATGTAGACACTATAGCTATGGCATTGTTTGTAATTAAAATGTATTATGGTTTTCCCGATAACGATGACATTTCATTTGTGCTCCAGTGTTTAATTAAAACCGTATTCTGATTCCATTTTTACAACTATGTTATAAACTTCAACAATGAACTGGATAAATGTACTGAGATGACATATTCGCATACATAACTGACAGATCAGAATTTACTCACCACAGCCCGCTAAACGTAACATACGAAGATCGCAACCGACTTAAAATTGTAGCACCTTCTTTCTCGCCTGTCAAGTACTTCTGCTGGCTAGAATCGCCTGTCATTGCATACGTATGCTCTAAATACCTTACTTTAACATGTGTGTAAAGTTCAATCTTACAGAGAGAAGTTTATTTTCAGTCCTCTTTTGCGCACTTTTGGACTCGCCTGGCACCTACTTCTGCTCATCAGAATCGCCTGTCAATTTTTGTCTATATTCTGAAATACCTAAATAGGATCATAATAACATGACAAGTTTACAGTGCAATCATCCCTTCACTAGCAATACCAAGCAGACGAACTAGACAAGCCCAGTCAGCACATCCTTTCATTGTCAACCTCGAAAGATGTCGAACAGCACTTTATCAAGACTCCTTCATCCATAGAACGGCTAGGCTCTGGAATTCATTGCCTGTGGAAGTATTCCCAACAACATATAATCTCCAAAAGTTCAAAAAAAATTCCAATACCTACCTCCTGTCCCTATCCTCCCTAGGAACGCACGATGTTCATTGAACATTATAGGGATTCCCTGTCGTGCGCTCCAAGCGATAAAAAAAAACACTTTAAAACATATGGCGGATGGTGACGTGCAAGGGTGAGGCCTGCAAAGGTCATGATTTTCGTACTTAACAGCCTTTGATCCATCACTATTCAAACTTCTAGCCTTACAGACAAACCGTTATATAAAAGGTTCACGGGCTCTTAGACTGATAACTTATTTTATCTTGAAGCTGCAAATTCTAAACTTGGACAAAAAAAATGATGAGGCAATTTCGAAATTCAATAAATTACCAGATATCAAAAATAGCCCAAATATTATTCAATTCAAAAATAAAGTGAAGGAATATATTTGTACGCAGGGGAATGATCAAAGCTGAAAGACTATGAATTTCTTTCTTTTTTTTTTCTTCCGTTTATTTTTTTTTTCCTTCTTGTTCACTATTTGTAATTTCAATTATACAACAGTCGATAATACTTCATGAATGATCTTATACCAGGAATTACTGTCTGTATGTATGAAGAAGAGAATGTAATGCAATAACTGAAATAAATGAATGAATAAATAAAATTCTTGGGCGGGGATGGAAAACACCCCCATTACCCCCCCTAATATCGACGCCCTTGGATTGATTCTATCACTTTACCTTTCCACGGTCCTCCACCATCATGTACAGCTCCTGCTCGCTCATCCAGCTCTCGGCCTCGCTGGCGTCGAAGAGGTACTGCTGCGCGCGCTCGTTCCTGAGCAGGTGCTCGCGCCGCCCATCGATGGCGTCCTTGAGCTCCTGCCAGGCCTGGTGCAGTTCGCTGATCAACCTACTGAAGTCGGCTGCATCTTCGTGATCTGCGTGGGAAAATGCGCTCGAGTCATGAGTGGTCTAGAGTAACTTTACCAATAGAGTGACTTTTTGATTGGTCAGACCTCTAATATGGAGGTGCATCCACCTCTGAACGTCAGTACCTTGGGAATTAACTATTAGAATCCGTTTTTTGGGACTCCTTAGTCTCAGATTATTTGGATGATGAAATATCTGAACCTAATATCAGGTGGGCACTTCGAAGAAGCAAATTCATTACTGCATGCAAATCAATTTTGCATCCAGGCCGTCTAATACATTTTTTATTCTATATAAATGAATGTTTGACATTTCCTTTGGAAAATTAGAGAAATGGAATCGCCATTTCCTTCAGAATACCCGCTATCCATTAGGTACACAGCAGGACATTTTCATGTATGTTTTCTTCTCAATAGTTTATGAAATTATATTTCAATTCTGAGGTTCATAATATTTTATGTCAAATTCAAACAATTTTATGACAAAGCGCGGAACGACTATGATGCTTTTGTCACAATGCAAGATGTGTAACTTAATAAATCTGAACATTCAAAAACACTAACAGTTGTCATTTCTGTGTCCGAACTCTTATCTACCTAATACTAGGGCCCCTTGATGTAAATTGACGTATTTGTCATCTTAGCAGGGTACGGACAGACCCTCGTCTCCTCTCATTCTAAAGTGGTTGTGAAACAGTTATATCGTTCCATCTTTATTCATTTCTAGGGATAAACACTAGATTTCTGACATTTGTTGTTTTTTAGGTTATATTGAGGACATTGGCGTATCATACGTAATTTACACTTGTACGTTTCACCAAATGGGACTGTTCTTAGGCAGTACCTATCAATGAATGAATTTTGATTTCAGACTAAGCCTTATGCTTGAGAAATGGTGAAAACTTTTATGTAGGTATTCAAACTAATATGCTCATATGTCATGTGTGCTAGTTTTTCACGAACACTTAATATTTCCTGAATGTAGGTATACATTTTTAGATGGTAGGGCATGTGCCTCTTTTTTTAATCCTCCGTTTCAATCAAAACTGTTTCTACTGAAATGCATTCAAAAACTTGTGGAGTAGATAATTATAGGCACAATGAGAAAGTATATGTGATTTCATATTAGTTTTACCTCGAATATTTTGCTGATGTATTTACCAATTTTTCATATTCGGTCACTTCACTTTCCATGTTCTAAGTTCATTTGCATTTGATGGAAAGCTGACAAATTCAAATTTGCCAACCAACTGATTGATACAGCCAAACGCAGCACATTTTACCATCCTACTGTTCAAATTTTCAAGAAAAAGATATGGATCATATTAAAAGCATTCTCAACTTCAATTATATTAATTTTTGGTTTACCTAGAAATACCTTCCTGTAGAAGTTACAACGATGAAACTTCATATCTAAGTATTCGATTTGTTTCTCCATTGATTGAATTTGCCAATGAATAACTAACACCCTATGTGATATTGCAATAAAATTTTGTATTGGAGTATTTCAACTTTGCATAAATTGAATAGGCCATCCACTTTCACGGAAAATATCGCCGGATATCCTTTTTGAAATTTAGACTACTTCAACAAACAATACTAGGCCTTAAGAATCTGGAAGTTTCCAATGTCACCACATTTTTGAAGAGTACTAGTTGAGTACTATAATACAAAATACTTGTTTCGGAAAGTTGGTCCATGGGTTCCAAATAAGTAAGGTGTTGCGAATTGAAATCACACAATGTTTATTCTCGCATAATCTAGAAAAGTTGCAAGCGACAAAAGACGAAATTTCGGCCCTAATTGAGTTCAAGCTATCAAACAGGCTTTTTCAAGTTATTGAACAGGCATTTTACTTGGTTCTTTGGGATTTTCTCTCCTCGTTTCTATAAAATAAAAGTATTCGTATTATTTCAATATATTTGTAGAGGGACAAATCAGATGATTTGCCCCAAAATGTCACTGCGTTTAACAAATTCTTCTATCAGGGAGCCAAAAAAAAAATCCAGTAGCTTGTCAGTGACAATTTGTTTGAAAAAATTTTTGAAGGAAAGAAATATAGATATATTGAAAAAATATCGAATTTGTACTTATCTTTGGACGTTTCGGGACCGATTCTGCTCCCGTTCTCAACATGTAAATGCAAATTATTTTTCTTTGAAAGTTGTGCTGCGTATAGTTTGACACTTTTCAATGTCATACTGATGTTGGCATATGAATGAGTGATTTTAGTCTACAAATGAGTTACAGGATGTTTTCATTAATTGATCTTGAATCTACCATTTTCATGTTCAGTTTTCAGTAGTGAATACCATGTTATATCAATATCAACTGAACAGGAAGCAATGCTATTGTCTCCGTTTAGAAGAATACAAGCGGATTCCTTTATTTTTCTTTTTTGTTTGTTATCTTCCTTTCCTATGATTTTGATATTATTCCACTGTGCCATATGTTGTCCATCTTCAGTGAGGATATGTTCAGTTAGCTTCGATTTATCGATATGTCTTTTCTTGATATTGTACTTGTGTTCTTTTGTCCTTACTGAGAGAGGTCTCTTCGTTTCACCTGTATAATACTTTCCACAAACACAAGGTATACTGTGTTCAAAACTGAAAATACAATGAGATCCATTCTAACTCAAACAAAGCCAAAAAATGAAGAACAATCATCAAAAAATTGTATTTATAGTATACCTTGTGTTTGTGGAAAGTATTATACAGGTGAAACGAAGAGACCTCTCTCAGTAAGGACAAAAGAACACAAGTACAATATCAAGAAAAGACATATCGATAAATCGAAGCTAACTGAACATATCCTCACTGAAGATGGACAACATATGGCACAGTGGAATAATATCAAAATCATAGGAAAGGAAGATAACAAACAAAAAAGAAAAATAAAGGAATCCGCTTGTATTCTTCTAAATCTAAACGGAGACAATAGCATTGCTTCCTGTTCAGTTGATATTGATAGAACATGGTATTCACTACTGAAAACTGAACATGAAAATGGTAGATTCAAGATCAATTAATGAAAACATCCTGTAACTCATTTGTAGACTAAAATCACTCATTCATATGCCAACATCAGTATGACATTAAAAAGTGTCAAACTATACGCAGCACAACTTTCAAAGAAAAATAATTTGCATTTACATGTTGAGAACGGGAGCAGAATCGGTACCGAAACGTCCAAAGATAAGTACAAATTCGATATTTTTTCAATATATCTATATTTCTTTCCTTCAAAAATTTTTTCAAACAAATTGTCACTGACAAGCTACTGGATTTTTTTTTTAGACTCCCTGATAGAAAAATTTGTTAAACGCAGTGACATTTTGGGGCAAATCATCTGATTTGTCCCTCTACAAATATATTGAAATAATACGAATACTTTTATTTTATAGAAACGAGGAGAGAAAATCCCAAAGAACCAAGTAAAATGAATGCGCCACCTCCTCGATTAACCTACAGACAGTATTTATTGAACAGGGCCTGCACTGTAAAACAAATCTAGGTTAAACAATAAAAAACGAATGCATATTATACAAAAGGATAGGTAGTGATCGTAAATCAGTGAACCTGAACCATAATTGATGATATATGCCATTTTTTCTAAACTATGAAAATTAGGTGGTGGCAAGATCAAATCGAAATAGTATATTATACACCTAGGGTTTGAAGTGTGCCATTATATAGCAAGCACTTATATATCCCGCGAAGCGCCAAAGGATATATTGCGCGAGCTATACATATAATAGCATTCTCACCCGAGGTATATATAATATTTTTTCCACTACTCCATTGAAGCTGAAATGCCATTCACCGCATTGATAGTGAGAATGATATAGACGTTTGTACCCCGCGCCTGCATGAACTTAGGAAGTATACTGGTAATATATAGCACGATGTTCTTCGAACATTATAAGGATTCTCTTTCGTGCACACAAAGCGATGAAAAAAAGTAGATATTGAAAATACATCAGTATTCATTCAAATGTTTTCAAATATTTCATGAATATCGCAGATGATACCTTTGAACCATTGAGCTGATCTACTTAATAAATCATATCGTATTGACCACCATAGATGAAATTGTTCTGATTGACCAAAAAATGTGTCCATATCGAAAGTCATTGTTATTTGAATTGCTCTAATTCACACATGGACGTGACAGCTCACATATGATTTGTGTTGTGACATCTTTAGGATCAATGATAATCACATTATTCCAAACATTTTTCATTACTGAAAAAATTGTTTTCAGCTGTAATAAATTTCGTAGTTTCAACTATATTTGGTTCAAAGAATGTCTCATTTTTCATTGGTTCCATAAGCATCGGTATCTAGGGTGTATTGCATAGGTATCATTGGCACTATTGACAGTTTTATATACCTACATAAAATGTCTTTATAACATTTATTATTATATACCTAGGTTCAAAAAGTGTTGCTTCTCATTAGAGAAAATCCTCGAATAATGGTGATTTCTCAGGTAAGTGGTGGAAAAAATTATATTTACAACTCACCCTCATCAATAAGTTTTTGCCCATTATTACACACAGTGTTGATCCTAGGCTCGTGATTATCAACTTCAGTTTGCAGAGACTGGGTCTTCTTCTCCAACATGTGCACCTGGAATAAACTGTTCCCGTACTCTGTGTTCAAAGCTTGTGGCATCTTCTCAGCAATCCACAATAGTTCTTCTTCCACGTCCCTTCGGAACTGCATGGCTTCCTTCTTCTTCTCCAGTATCTTTTGTCTCAACAGAAGAGGTTGTTTCAGTTGTTGGAATCTTTGTTCAACCTTTGTTTTCTTGTGATGGATTTCTTGCATGTCCTTCTCTGGAGCTGCTGTCTCTAGATGCTGAGTTTGTTTCTCCAATTCTCCCACTTGACGAGCTTTGACAGCCATTTGGGTCTCGATCATCTGAAACAAAATAAATGTGAGTAATCTGTGACTATATCAAAATAGTTGAGAACTACCTGTTGCTTCTGCATTAGAATGTTGACAGATGCCAAATCTGAGCCAGTGTCTTCACTTTCGATTTGTTTCTCGAGTTCCGTCATCCATGAATCAATGTCATCGCAAGTTTGATGAATGAGTACTTCTCTGTTCGCGTCGAAGAGTCTCTCGCCCTTTTCTTTTGTTGTCTGCTCCAATACATCAAACTGGTCAGCCATTTCTTCTATCTTTGGTTGGATGTGACTAGCATACTCTGGTTTTTCCTTTGCGAGTTCTTCGCCTGCTTTCTGTAAATTATGCAACCGTTCTTTGTTGGCTGCAATTTCAGCTTCGAATGCCTGATGCCTCGTCCATTTCGAGTGAACGGTTTTAGCTGACCTGTATGTTTCGTCCTGAGCAGTGATGTGCTTCTCTTGCATCCATTCACCGAGCTCATCACAGTCCCTAAGGAACTGGTTGAGCTCTAGCTGATCACGCAACCTTTCCAGAAGAGCCTGAGCTTTCTCTCTGTTTGCAAATCTACGTTCGTCTATATTATCAGCGCGTTTGGCGATTTTATCAGAAGCGAAGTGACCTTCATCGCAAAGTCTCCGCGAGAATTCAACCACTCCGTTGATCTTATCGTCGTTGGCTTCCATTGTAGCTAGGAAGGCTTCGTGACGCTTGAGAAGATTCTCAGCTTGTTCTAGAGTAGTGGGGCTTTCGTCTTTACCAAGAGTGTGTTCCTGCTGGTTGAGAATTACCTCGGCTTGCCGAGCATCTCTATCCAACAGCTGCAAGCTCAGTGACTGAGATAACAGTTGTTGTCTGTTTTCCCACATTTGGTGAATTTCTGCCCAGCCATCCTTCAAAGCCTTTAGACGTTCCCTCAAGAACATGTACTGAGGATCGTCTTGCGTGCTGGGTTCTGCAGTGATCTTCTCACCATATTCCATCATCTTGGTGTAGTCATCAGTGTAGTTGTCGATTTCCTCCCTGATGGCTTGATGTTGTGACAAAAGCTTCTCGGCTTCAGACAATGAACTAGGGGTATCCTCAGAAGCAATGTCAGTTTGAGTTTTGGTAAGCCATGCCTGGAAGTGATCCAAGTCCCGGAGGAATCTATGGAGATCACCGGCTTCCTCAAGTTTTGAGTCACGTTCTTTGAGCATCTGTGTCAATCTCTCCCAGATGATCTGTATTTGAGCGATGCGTTCTCTGATGACTGCAGCTTCTTCAGGATGCTCAGTTTCAATAGCATCAGCTTCTTTCTGGAGTGAAGTGAGTTTAGCCTGAATGGCGGCCAAGTCTCGCTCCATTCCAGAGAGTCTACGTTGCAGGGTCATTATTCCTGTGAGATCCATTTCTAAATTATCGGTAGTCTGTAAAATACGAATCTTGTCTTCGATCCAAGTCGTAGTTTCACGACATTCGATATGGAATGTTTGTACGCCATGAGCAGAGTTGAGTTCTTCTTTTTTCGCTTCGGCTTTTTCCCTGAGCTCAGCCCATTTCTGATTAAGATGATTTTGCTTGGCAGTGATTTGTTCGGAGTTGGGGTGTTCTACGTGCAATAACTGACGGGCCAGTTGGTTGACAACAGCAACACGTGAAGCATTGGAGTTCATCTCTTTCTCGAAACCATCATAACGATGTTTCATGATCTCCACATCTTCAATATCTCTAGCAGGAATCATAGTCTGCAACATCCTGTCTTTCTCACTGATCCATTGTTCAACACCGTCGCTCTCTGAGAGTAGTTTGTAAAGCGAAAGCGCATCAAGCAAGCGCTGTTTCCTGAGTTTAGCCAATTCCAAGAGTTCTTTGTAACGGTTATCGATAGAAGCAAGCCTTTGCGACACCTCAGGGGAGTTAGCAACTTCAGGTCCCAAAGCTTCAGCCTGTTGATGCAAAGCTTCAATGACAGACACATAGTTCTTCAGTTCTTCGGTAACATCTTTGTGTTTCTTCAGAAGCGACTGTGCATTGCTTTCGTCCCTTCCAACATCCTCGCTAGAAACAAGTCTCAAGGTGTCTAGCATCCAAATATCGACATCATCGGCATCTGCGAACAATTGGTGGTAGTCCACAGCTTCTTCCAAGCGCTTGCGGCGATAAGCAGCCAGGTCTAGAAGATGCTTCCAGGAATCGCGGATCTCGTTCAACCTGTCTTGGATCTTTTCTGCGCCGAAGTGACCTCCACCGATCAGTTCTTCGCCAACACCTAGTGCACCTTCTAGCTGCGACTCGTGAGCAGACAATTCATTTTCTAGGACCTTATGTTTGCTAAGAAGAAGATTTACTGTCGTGAGATCATGGCCAATATCTGATGTCGACACGATTTGTTCCTTTTCTTTGATCCAGTTTTCTTCATCAGCCATGTCCCAGTAGAATTGCCAAAGCCTTTTGCTTTCTTCCAGCCTGGATCTCCTCTCAACAGCGAGCCTCACTAGCTGTGCGTAGGCATCTTCCAACTGTTGTACTCTTTCTACAACCAAAGTAGGGTCACATGGTCTGTAACCTTCCTCATTATCAGCGTCAACGAACCTTCGTGATTGGCTGGCGACAACTTTGACTCTATCTCCGAGGATATTGATATCGGCCTCGAGAAGGTTATGTTTTTGTAGTAGGTCTTCAACTCCCATGAGATGTTTACCGTAATCGTCGGTAAGCAGTCGTGCTTTCAATTCCTCCATGGCATCTAGAATATGGAGCATTTCTTGGAAGGTTTGTTGTAATTGGAACGATAGATCTAAGCGATTTCTACGTGCTTTAAGCAATTCCAGAAGGTAGTTCCACAGTCTTAGTACATTGTCTTTCCTTGCATTGATTCTTTCCATGTCATGGTAGTTCTCAGCTTCCAGTTCCCCAGCCACAGCGACTACGGCCTGTACTCTTTCCTCGTAGGCGAAGATATCGGTTTCGATAGCCTCGTGTTTCTTAGCTGCGGCTTCAACGGCTGCCAAGTCTTGTCCGAAGTTGTCTTGAGATACCAGTCTTTGGTTCTCACTCAACCAGGTTTCTCTCATGCTAGCTTTCCTGTTGAATCTAGCTGCTAGCTGTTCAAGCTTCTCTTGACGAATCAATTCTTCTCTTAGCGCGAGTTCTCTTTCGTGTTCTGCTTTTTCAAGTCTCTCCCAAGCTTTGTTGATATCGGATATCATCTTGCCTTCCCTAGGAGTATACGGACGTTGGTTGTTCGCTCGCATTTTAGATTGGAGAGTGAAAAGAAGGATTTCTAAGTTGCCCTTTTCCACGAACTTTGGTGGTTTCTCCACAATACGGTAGTTGTTGAACTGGCCCAACTGACTTTGAACGCCAGTCAAGCTGTTAGAGAACTGTCTGTCTCCTAGGGATTCAATGGTGGCCTCGATCCAAGCTAGCAAATCACTGGTCAATGATTCATACTCCTTCATCATTCTCTCGTTCTCCATGGCTATACCAACGACTTTACCGATACGCTTACCCTGCACCGTTTCCTGCTTCATCTTGCTGAAGTAATGATAGTAAGTTACGACATAGGTGATGATGGATTTCTCGTCTGGCTGTTCGACAAAGATATCTTCGGCGTCTAACAGCTTGGTGAGTCCTAATTTGTCTTCCGCTACGTTGAAAGCATTATTCAGATTATGCATGGGGTTGGATTTGGAAAGTTTGTCGAACTGGATGAGGTCAGCTCGGTGTTTGTGGATGAGGGCGTTGAAAGCGAGACCGTCGCGCCATGATGTGGTGAAGTTGCGTACGTTGACGTTGTGATAGCCAGCCGTCTTCATCTGGCACCACAGAAGCAGAGCGTCCTTGGCTGATTTGGTTTCTTGGTTATCTGTTTCTTCGATTGTGATGTCTTGGATTTGGAAGCGCAGGATTATGGTCCAGATGAGACCTAGGGATAGTCTTGGGTTTCCGTCTACTATGTCATGGGAACCCATGTTTTCTAAGTGAACACGCTGTTCTCTGAGGAACTGGAGTGCTTTGTCTACGTTTTCGAGGCAGTGAATGCGCATTTTGCCTTTTGTCGGTCTCGGCAGTCGTTCTCCAGAGAGGACTTCCAGGAGTTTGATAAGGTTTTTGCCATCGCGCATGTCGGTGTAAAGGTCTACGATGCGCGAGTTGACTCGGACCAGGTGGGAGTTCACCCATTTTTGGAACGTCTTCTTTTGGACGCTTTCTCTTTCGTCTAAAAGAAACAATTTTCATCAAGTAAATACATTTTGAATATGGAAAAACACCAAAAGTGAATTTTTGAAAGACCAAAAGGTTGTGTTGAGGAATGCATTTTGAAGTCAAAGAATTCAGATCAGCTTAGGTTTATTGAAAAAAATTATCAAGCCTGTCATCAAGTGTATTTGGTGTTAATGTCGTCAACATATAAGCCTACATTCGATTTCATGTTTGCAAAAGTTGATGTAACGCGAGGGTAATCGGAGATTGTCGAATAATAAGATAATAATAATAATAATAATAATAATAATAATAATAATAATAATAATAATAATAATAATAATGTTTATTCGCCAATAGGTAATATTTAACACTAGAAGTTCAAGAGAAATCGACAGAAATTGAATGTATCTAGATTACTACTTCCACCAAAAATCTATAAAATATAAATATGAATAAACAAATGTCCCACTAAGGCTATGCCAGCGCGTGGATGCAATGTTAATACATAACACATCTTATACATCTTTCTTTGGAGTGCATAAATACTATTTTCGAATTAATGAAATCAACATATACATATCCCAGACAGCACCAGATATTCCATGAATCTCCCTATCATATCATATCAAGATACCATTATTATGCGACAATTCAGGTAATCCGTGATAATTATCAATTTCGAAAAGTATGGAACTATATTTAAACAAATCAATATTCTGAGTGTACCATGAATCTCCTGAGTGAAAGGATCAAAGAATGATGAAATAGTGGTTGCAAGGGTTTATTACAATATTTTAGTTTCTTGATATTTGTGAAATATTTTGGCAATGTTTGTTGTTTTGAGCTTGATTTTGTTCTGAATATATGTATATGGTGTTATTTAAGGGTGTGGCCGAACTTCAAGAGTTGGTTATTAAAGTGATTCCAAGTCAAAAAGTTCATGTAAACATGGGTCCCGAAATACATCGTTTACAAGATACAGGGTGTCAAAAGATTTGAAAAAAAATCGCTCTTCGATAAATATCGCAAAAATCTCTGATCCAATTTTGTTGAGAAATTGCAGTGTCATTTGTAGTAGAAAGGTGTTAATTGAGCCATTACTAAATCAACGAAAACCTATTTTTTTAAACAGTTTGACACTGTGGATCTTGAAAATTATGAATTTACGGAGCTATGGTCATATGAACTTTTCGTCTTAATAATCTCTAAAAAAAACCCCGTTGCAAGTTTGGCCACGTACTTGAATAACACCCTGTATATTGTTACAATTTGATTTCCCTAAATAATTTCTTGGCAGATGATAAATGTCCCATATGCTCTGATTTCAACAATATGAAGAGCACTATAAATAGATTATTAATGTAATAAATCAAAACCAGGGACTTTTAACGTGATGATCACTTGCCAGAAACGATTTTTCAACACCTCTATATGTTTTGTTCATTATACACGCATGGTTGTATAAAAAAAATTTGGTAAAACTTTCCAATTTGATTTATTTTTCAAATATGGACTGAAATAATACTGGGCGTTTCAATAGGAATTTCCTCTCGTGTGCTTCAAGTGAAGAAAAAAAATGTAGAAATGCTCATATTTTGACAAACAGGGTGTTGAAAATGATTAGGAAGTTACTACGCCACTGGCAGAATAACATTGACTTCACACTCAAAAAGCAGACCGGCACTAATGAGAGAGCTGAAAACCCAAATCAAAAATTAATGAGCATTCAAAATGTATTAGAAAAATTAATAGAATTTTCAAGTTGTCAATATTATTTCTTGAAATAAAGCAATAATTTTATCATCTGATGCACTGATAGGTAGGCAATTTTTATTTTGGCATATTTTGGCATGTTCTATCATTCAATTTGTCTTCAAATCATTCTAGCCGATACAAGTAGATGACCACGATGTTCACAAACCAATAATCCATAAAATGCTCATCATATTGTGTCTGCAAAATACCGTTATGATGAAAAAAAATGTAGAAAGAAAACAATGGAAACAGTTCTGTCCTACATACCAAATTAACAACCATATACATCGATGTAAAATATTTAATCTTTACCGGTGTATAACTGACATTATTTATTGACCACAACAGTATATCACTGCAAGGTTATCATAGTTTTTAGGATTGTATTCCCCATTTCTAGCAGTGTCCCACTTCGAAATTTCATTACCTCGTAATTCTTTCACCACATAGTCGAAGTATTTTTGCTCGTCAAATTTGGCGGACATTTTTCGAAAACTTGTTCTTTCTTGTCACATCACTATCACATTATATACTAAATAATAAAAATTATTACGAATACAGGCAGGAAACTCGGTTTTGATAATCATTCACCCAGATAAGTTTAGGGGAAAATAAACAGATTTATCTACTTCGAACAACGGTAATAATTGCCAGGTCACTTAATATTTTTATAATACTCTTTGCAGATAAGATTCTTGCAAAACCCCAGCAAAACAATCATCCGTGAAATTTGAAATTATCACTTCGATCATGAAGATAATGATAATAATATATTTATTCATTATTTACATACTTGCAAAATAATAATGTATAAAACAAATTAGCTACGGAGCTGCTTGAAAATCCAGACTAACTCTGACTCTGTCCCAGGAATCGTTTTATATTTAAGGAACTACAATAACCATCTACTTTCATCTCTCATAGGAAGGCAATTATTGCAATAATAGGCAATTCAAAACAAGGGATACGTCCTCTTGCGGATATTCAAGTAACCAACGGGAAGTACAATGAATTTTCGTTTACATTCAAGTTTCGATGCATTTCATCGATAGTTAAGTGGTCATTGTGATATTTTTCGAGTTTCATTTTATTCCCAGAAGTGAACAGTTACAGAAGGAATTTGAAAAAACGAAATCCTTATTATACTCAGAAGCAAATGCTAGGACTATTCCTCTTTTATAAACACATGTAGATGAATCGACTACAATATACAGGGTGATTCACGGTGGAAGGCACATTAGTCGTTTCTGGAGAACGCAACTCAGGATTATTCTTAAAAGTTGGTGCCTTGGATAATAACTTTTGTTCTATCGACCTAAAATATTCTCAGCGTTGCGACGTTGCCGCTTATATTGAAAAGTTGCAAAAACTTTGATTTTTTCAATGAAACACCCTGTATATCATTCCATTTTCAGATTCTCCCTGAAGAGCTGATTCCATCGATCTATCACATTTGGGGTCTAGCGGCAATGATAACAAAGAAATAGGGTGTGAGAAATCGAAATTTTTCAACTTTGAGAATTTTTTGTGTCCGAGGGGTAAATCTCCTTGGAAGTCTGGTGTACACTCCGTTGGAAGTCTTTGGAATTCTTTGGATGTCTTTGGGAGTCTTTGGAAGTCTTTGGTAGTCTTTGGATGTCTCTGGAAGTCTTTGGATGTCTTTGGAAGTCTTTGAAAATCTTTGGGAGTCTTTTTTGGAATTCTTTGGATGTCTTTGGGAGTCTTTGGAAGTCTTTGGTAGTCTTTGGATGTCTTTGGTAGTCTTTGGATGTCTCTGGAAGTCTTTGGATGTCTTTGGAAGTCTTTGAAAATCTTTGGGAGTCTTTGGAAGTATTTGGAAGTCTTTGGATGTATTTGGAAGTGTTTGGAAGTCTATGTTAATTGCAAGTCTGGTGTACACATTTTTCCTGGAGATTTACCCCTCGTTTGTGTCGGAATAATTCATAATTGATCAAAACGGTTTTCATGTCCCTATCTTAACTTTTCATGTACTATCAAGTGATATTTAATTGAAATAGATACAGGGTGGTCAAATATCTTAATTCTGAACTAACTTTTCAGAATGATCCTGAGTTGCGTTCTCCAGAAGAGTCTAATGTGCCATCCACCGTGAATCACCCTGTATACATTTCAAAAATACCTACTCTGTGAGCTTCAACATCATTTTCAATCCACTTAATCTATAATATTTATTTTACTACTGAATGGGAACGGAATGCAAAATAACGTAACCTCAATTGGGGCATTGCGAATATCATGTATTTGAAGTAGTGAAACATACTTTATTGAATGAATGAATATCTTCTGAAAAACTCCAAAGAATCATAAGATTACACGAATAAACAGTCAAAAATGTGTTTTTTTTTGCTTAAATCACTACCAAAAAATCGATATGATACACACAAGCAAATAATGAACCATTTCAAAACATTGTACTTTCATATAGTTCCAAAACCGGCCACTTTGGCGCTGTGATTTTAAATTCAGTTGCCTATTATCGTTGAAATGAAAATAATGTTCAATTATTTTACCTCTGAAGCCATTCAAGGAATCTGACCTAATGATTACATCACGTATTGTCGGCCAACTCGAATAAAAAATTCAACGAAATGGCAGTACGAAAAAGGTAACATGTATGTGATTATTGTCGACAATTAAATTCTAAATTTGGAATAGAGGACGGTTACGAAACGAATGCTGGAAACTGCACTGAAAATCGATAGAGCAACGACAATATAGTTAGTTGGGTCATTGGCCACATTTATGCTGTAGGTATGGATATTTGGTATGCTTACCAAGGTGATCTGATAAAATTCAGACCAAACACCTCAGTTAACGCTTGTTTACAACATGAACATGTAAAGTCGGGACATTTTCGGAAGGCGAAATCCGCCATTAAACGTTGGTGAGACACAACATACATACAACATAACGATTTCCACTTGTTTGAAATATACCCAAGATACTCCCAGGTACGTCCCCTACTTAAACTACGATCAAGGTGGATAAGATATGGTGGAATCACAGAGAGTGACGCTTGACCGCAGATTCCGCAATAATGGCATATTAGTTCTCAGTTGTCCGCAAGATGGCGACACTTTTTGCAGATTTCTTCCATGACAGAAAACAAAAAACGGCACTTACACACCGCTTGCACCAGAAATAATAATATCATAACATTAATAACATAACCTCGAATCAAGTGAGATTGAATTTGAGAGTACGAAAGTAAAATTTTTAGGGATTCTAACAATCATC